GCTCAGCCTCAGCCACCGTGGACACAGCTGTTTCTTCCATCGCCTGTTGCCAGAGCAACGGGGTCACAAATGTCGCTCAACTCCCTCACGGATCAGCCCAGGTCTGTACGCCGCTGCAGCCTGTCTGCGTCTGTGTGCCGTCAAGGCGACAGAGCCAGGCGCTTCAGCTGCCCCCGTCTGGAGCGCTCCAACAGTAGGGGCTACATCAAACTGGCTGATCTGGGGGGCGAGTCCTTCGAAGCCCCCGACACGGACACTTATTTAGTGGCAACCGAACAGGAAGTAGCAACAGACGCAGCAGCAGCAGCGGAGGAAGAAGCTCAGGGAGAGGACAGTCTGGTGACATCCATCACCTCTGCAGAATCCTAGACTTTTTGCTGACGAGCCTCTGAAAACTGTTTGATGTCTTCTTCTTTGCTTCGTATCTTGTTCTCTGATTGCTGATGTGAAGCTGGCCATTACAGAGTAATGGAAGTCTGCAGAGTAAGCAGCTGAGGACTATTGAAACATAGCCATGAACACTCAAGAGCAAGGCTCTTTATAAATACCACATCCACAGCTCAATATTCAAATGTAATTTTTCTATTTTTTCAATGTAGCAAGAGCAATACTAAAGACTTGTAAGAAGATTTAGTAAAGATTTCTAACAAAAAAAAGAAAATCTGGTCTGATGAGTTTTAATTTTTCTTTTGTATAACAGTAGGGCAAACAATGTAGCCTGTAGAATTGCCAAAACCGTCACTGAGAACTACTGTCTGACATGTTGTACTGTAGCATTGACATATGCCACAGAAAAATAAATAGTCTAGAATTGTTTCTCTACATCGTTATGTGAATACCACGTGAATAGGTGAACTGAATTGAATCTCAGGTAGATGTTTGGTTTAGGATCAGGACCTTGAGGACAAGGTCTTCCCTGTGCACACTTGTTTATATGAAACATTCATGGTTGAATAAACTTGACTGTAACACTCCTCCTGCCGGGTCTCGTAGTCGTCCTTGTTTGATAATAGATGAAGTCAAGCCGACGCCAATAGTTTGTTTGCTCCATGTAGGTTTTAGAAAAAATAAATGGAAACAAATGAAAAACTGTGGGACTGTGAGTGGTTAAGTGTGTGGTAATCCTGCAGATGGTATAGATTTTGACTTCCTGCACTTCAGCAGCACTTCTTCTCATTACTGGGAAAGACTGCAGTGGTATTGATGTTACACTGTCCGTGCTTACTGAACTGAGACCAGTAACCTATAAGTGACATTTACAATGGCCTTTTTATTAATTGGCTTCACAGTTAGAAAGTGGAAATCAACAGAGGCTTATCTGCTGATTCAGATGGGTGACAAAAAAGAAAAATGAGTATACTGTACGCATCTTAGATTTTAGAACAACCCCAACATTTCCCACAAGTGTTCAATTGAGTTGAGATCTGGTGACTGCGAAGGCAAAATCATATGGTTCACTGTTACTATTGCTGCCCTGTATGGAAACATCTGCAATCATTATGTTTCTGCTCTTTTTATTCTGAGTTTTTCTTTAATTTGTCTCCTGTTTTGTTTGTGGTTCTTCTGCACTTGTGCGTATAGTTATGAAAATACGTTGCTCATAGCTTTCAATGATGGAACTGAACAAAGCACATATATTCAAGTAGTACTTGGGTGAAATTTGATGGTACTTTTATGGATTACTTCTAATTTCTGCTACTTTATACTTCTACCCAATACATTTAAGAGTAATTGTACTTTTTACTCCATTACATTTATTTGACAGATTCACTGTAGTCAAGTTACTTTGCATCTTACTGTAAGGTTGTATATACAAAATGCACTGAGTTGCCAATTAGGTCTTTTCTTAATTTTGTTTATTTTTAAACTTTTTTTTATTTGTTTACACAGTAGCGCAATACAAGGCACCAACATGAAGACATATGAAACATATACACATGCAGTACGCATGTAGGTCGGCATGTGTTTGTGTGGAGGGGTGTGTAGAAGAGAGTGTGAAAGGGAAGATAATATTAACCGAAGGAAGAAAGAAGGAAGGAGAGGAAAGAAGAAAAAGGGGATAAAGATTTATCGCAGGACTGCTTTATTAGACTGCTTTAGTTTTAGCTTGGTGTAGGCCTATCTAAAACAGATTTAAATACCTTATAGGCTAGGAGAAACATCAAGTATAAAACAGTTTAGATAGCTCCACTTTGACCAGCAATAACATTAAAATGCTACTTAATTCATCACTAAAAATAATCCAATAATACAAACACCAAGTACTTTTGCTTTTGATGCTTATAGCTTATTTGCTTATAATACTTTTCATTAAGTAACATGATTACAAGGCTTTTACTGGTTATGCTGTTATATAATGGTGTACATTTACATTCAGCCTCTGATTACTTCTTCCACCAATGAATTCCACATTTATTTTACTTCTTAGTAGTAGCCTAAATGCAGGAAATACAAACTATGCAATCAACATTATCTACAAGTTCAGGAACATTGACTTTGGTTTGCAGACTTTTATCATGAGGCATCTGAATGCAGCTCAAGCTAACGAGGCCATCTAGTGGTCATGTGACACATGGATGACCATCAGACGTCAGTCCGCCATCCTGCAAAGGCTCCACCAGGTGGCACTGGGACTTTGCAGCCTGCGTCGTCACCGTGGGCGTGCCCGTTTACAAGTACTATGGGGGCCGATTTCTTCTTTCTGAGGCAGGAGGGGCGGGGTTAGCTCGGCCCCGTCTCTGGGAAGGTTTGCCAAAGTCGGCGCTTACAGGTGTCTGGTCCTTTTCACCCGGGACGAGCACCGCGTCGGAATTCCTGGTCTCCGGTAACAAACTCACACACACACACACACTGGTATCAGCTGGTGTTTAGGGAGCTTTCTTGTCATTATAGTCAGGTAAAGCGTTTATTACAGTTTGTGCGCTGCACAACTTCACTACGTATCAACACTTGACTGTGAAATACTTTGGGCAGCATCGACATACAGTTAGCGGTTACTGACATTGTTTTAAGTTTGATTTCCAGAAGCCAATCTCTCAGTAAATGTTTTGTTTCATTTTTTAAATGATATTTCTCTCTCTGTTTCACACACCGGGGTTTCCAACACGCCGTGACGCGCCTGCTGCTACTTTCCCCTGTGACTCGGGACTGTGAAATGGTGAGTGCACGTGTTTGTTCACGAAAGTGTGAAGTATGTCACGTAAACACTGAGGCAGTTCACACGCAATCGGTAAAGACACATGTCTGACTGGGTGTATGAAAAGAGACGTCCGTTTTACTGTAAGGTCAAACAGAAGGCCAAAGTGCCATTTCATGGATCAAGGGTCACCAGGATCACAAATGTTGCTTTACCAACTTTTTTAAACTACTGTGTTGTGCAAAAGGTTGGGTGGAGCAGCTCTTTAAAAGAAAAGTTCAAAAGCTACTTCAGTTTCTGGTGATAAAATAACCAAACCAAACCCTCAACAATATTTACTTAGGTCACTTTTTGGGACCTTACATTGACTTACATTAATTTACTGGAGTGTTGCCCTAACCATAACCACTACTTGCCTAACCCTTACCTTAACCAATTAACTAAAATCATCGTTAACCTGATCTGAAGTCTGTAATGTGTCTCCAAAGGTAGCCTCAGTTAGGAACATACACACACACACACACACACACACACTAACCTGATCAAAACTTTGCTGGGCACAGGCAGACAGTTCGGAAATGGGAAGTCATCACAGCATGCGTTTCCGCTTCTATTCTCCCCAAAATAGAAATGTGCATGAATCAATAGAAGAAGAGCTCTTTGAACTTAAGACTTTTTACTACACACACACTGAAACTTTGCTGTGTGGTGATTATTTTAAAACATTTTGTAATGACCCAAGATTTATATGGCTGTAATGAAGTCGTATTTATTTTCAAGATGGACTATGGCTTTTTAACGGGCCACATGGTCGCTGTCACACTTCAGTAGTATTAAATGAAGGTGACTGTGCAGGACCAGAGAGATAAGGCCGGCCAAAGTCTGTCGGACTTGTCGTGTTCACTGGATGGTGGTAGCATGTACAGCGCTGCATGTTTCTCTGTGAGGCGTTCATGAGTAGATGATTATCAGCATTTGCTGAGCTGGTGCTTTTGCTGTCATCGTGACTGACTTTTGTCTTTGATAGATCTTAGTATGCAAAGTGCACCTGTAGTATGTCATGCCATATAAGCAGGGGCGGTAGTGTTATGTCCTTCCATACTGATTTTATATTATTTGAAATTGGTGTGAGAGCAGTGAGAGCGAACTAAAAGCAGTGAAGTTGTGGGCCAGACAGCTAAACAATGAGCCGATACTCACTTTAAAGCAGGAGCTGCAGCTTTTGGGGGATAATTCTCTGTATATTCGTCACTACGAGTGATCTTGTTCACATTAGATGTTATTTTGACACATTGTTGTAATAATATTGATAAAGCTGAAGGCGGACTAGTCGGTAAGATGACGTTTTTCTAGTTTCTTTTTAGCAACTTGTTAGCAACTGCCTTTTTTAAGACGCGTATAAGATTCCAAATTCACGAGTGGGGTAATAACTTACATATGTTATGTGTTAGAACAAAATGTTAAAATCTGTTGAGCTTGTGTTAACCACCGACCTGATTCCAGGCATTAAACCAAAACGCATTCCAAAGAAACATTGGGTGTGAGAGAAGGGAACTGAAAGTGCAGAAATGCTGACTCATTTCCTGGGTTTTAGGACTCAATACTGCTCAATTCTATTTATTAAAAGTATTTTCTCCAGGAGTGTGCCACCAAGGTTTGATCAGGTTTGATTGACATTGACCAAACAACCCGTTGACTGTCATCAGACTCTGATGTGTTGCTAAATCCTGATTGGTGCTTGGAAGTATGTGAGATATATATATATATATATATATATATATATATATATATATATACTGTAAATTACATGATATATATACTGTAAATTACATGATATATATACTGTAAATTACATGATATGTGGGTGACCGTGTTACTTGCTAGGTTTTTCAGAGCCGGGCCACTTGAACTCAGGAAGGTTGTAATTATGGACAAACGGCAGGGAATTCCCCAACTCTGACTTTGACTGGAATGCAGCATAATGTACAAGAGCGTCTGTTTCATCAGGTATGACTTCTGAAGATGTTGTTTAGGTGTTACAATTGAAAGGCCAGTTTCGGTGACTTACAGTAGAGAACATCTTGTGACCTTTCGGGGAATGCGTTCCCCTGCAATTTCCTTTTTGAAGTTTATTTAATTTCATGTCAGGCTGACATAACAAGATAAACTCTTCCTTCTGTGGCTCGAGATCATTCATTCATTCATGTTCATAATTAAAGCTCATTCTGCTGCAGACGTCTCTCTACGGGAGAGATTTCCTGCTGGTGTTTTGATGTAGTATTGCCAGTGATAAAGACTCTCTCTGCCCTTTTATCTTAGGAATTAAGATCAGTACTACTGTCCGATCAGTTCACGGTCAATAGCGCTGCTGGCGTTTTACAAAATGAAGGATGTGGAAGTGTGTGTGTGTGTGTGTGTGTGTGTGTGTGTGTGTGTGTGTGTGTGAGTGAGAGTCAGAACTAGAGGTTAAAGGTAAAAAGTAATAGTCTGCAAATCTCTGGCATTATCAAGATTTAGTGATAAGACATGCAGAGGTTGGAGTGAAGTCATTTCTTAAGACATTCTTTGGACTAAAAGGGCTGAGCCAAATATTGAGTTATTACATTATGCCCTCAACCTTCCCACAGAGTGCACTCTGTATGATCAGGTTATTAAACTAGAATAAAAACTAGAACTGGAAGAAAAACTGTGTTTAGATCTCCACAGCTGTTTTTTTCATATATTTAGATATTTTTTTATCATATTTAGATAAATTGAAGAAAGAGAGAAAATTGGAGCGTGACAGAAAAATAGTCTACAACTATTTTGATAAATGATACGTTTACATTGTCAGTAACTTAATTTCAGACCAAATTTAAGATAGTAAACAACTGTTTTATTGTGACTTTCATGATAAAAAGGTCGTCGCAGCTCGCATCATTATGTAATTAAAATCAGAAGTGTCCATCAACATGTCCCTGAGCAAGACGCTGAACTTCTTCCGGTTCACTTGTTATTTCTACTGTAACATCAAGAGCATCGCCGCCTGAAGTGCAACATGCAAATAAAACCATCAACACAGATTACCTGTCAGTTGAAGTGAGCTGAACTCGACACGTGAGTGCAGTGCACTTCGGGGGTTGACGGAGATAACACCTGTGACTCAATCTTGTTTAGTGGAGAGATAAGCTTGTTGGGAGTTTTGTTATCTCCCAATGTTGCCTGATCACTTGAGAGCAGCATGAGGCTGCCTTTGCCTTATAAAGCTACAGCTCATGGGGTGGCACCTTGACACTCACAGGGTATTTATAGTCTTTGAAGTCATCCCACAAATGTGCTATTGTAAAGGAACTTTTGTTTCTTGCCAAAAACTCTGTTGCACTGGTTCCAATGTGCTATTCTGCTGTGAACATCCAGGCACTGAGCTTCCCTTTGTCCTTGCCTTAGTTTATCCAAACTATGACACGTCCCACATTATTGTTTCTATTATTATGTAACTAAACATAGAAAACAAACAGATGCATTATAGCCCAACAATACTAGTCAGTATTAGTATTGATATTTGGAAGTTTAAAAAATAGGGATCCTTTAGATTTGTTGTTGTTGTCGTTGGTCGGTTTACATCTTTGGTCCTGAATGAAATATCTAAACAATTCTACGATGGATTTCCATGAAATTGGTAGAAACATTCATATTTGCTTCAGGATAGTAATTCTGGTGATCCCCTGACATCAGCACGTTAGCATTTGTTAGCATTTAGCTTAGCGCTGTAAGTACACAGAGCTGCTAGCATGACTGTAGGCTCTTAGCGGCGGTCGAATATTCCTTTTTGCTTAGGAAGGTTCCTCACTTAGGGAAATGACCCGGAAGTATCTAACAAACAGCCCTGATAAGAGCTGGTCTGATTCTATAAGTGCAAAGGAAAAGTGCTTCAATGCTTCCTTTCTTATCTCCTTTAGCATCCTTTACGAAAGGTGATAGTGGCGTCCCACAATTCCATGCGACAGCACCACAGCATACCCACGTCAATAACATCTGCTGAGGCATTGTTACGTAGCCTAGAGTAAGGGCAGCCGGATTCTCTTAACGCCGCATGGCTTTTTCCTAAATATTCAACAATTCTTCTTCACATCTTTTCCTTGACCTCATGATGTTTTCCATCCAGGTCAAGGAAAAGTGGAAAGGAAATGTTTTTATCATGAATACTTTCACACAGAACATGAATATTAATTACGTGGCAACAAAGCAACGTACTTCTTTTTCGGAAGGAGGTGGATTTTTCTGAGCTTTTCGCGCCGCGCATAAAGGCATCAACCAATCAAGTCTCTGGTTGAACATATTGTGTCCTTTTTGGTTTACAAAGAAAAGAGAACGCTGTAAAAATGAAATAAATTCTGTGATTTAAATTCTTCTCCTTAGTTGAAACGCTGGTATCCATAGAGAGCTCTAAAAGGGAAGAATGATTCTAAATTCTGCCTCCCACCACATACTGTATGTGCCGCCCCTCCCTTTCTCTGAAAATGCCTGGTCTCTAATCACTTGACGGGCACAATCATTAGCCTACTGCTTTCCAAAGGTTGCAAACGCAGAACACATTTACGATTCCTTCGAGATAAGATGTGCTTCCTACATGCACAAAAAAAAACAAGAAGGGGAGTGCTCCTCAGTATCTTGTTAATAACCCCTTTTCACATTAAACTGCACTGTGTACCCTTGGCTTTATATGAAAGGGAGCCATGGTTGAAAATAATGACTTTTCTAAAATGAGGGTGAAGTGTGATGACAGAGTGTGCTCAAGATAGGGAGTCGATTTGGGAGCTTTGGCCCAGTCGGGGTCGTCAAAATCTGACACTAATTTGGCTCGTATGCTCGCTGACCTGCAGCCCTTTGGGAGTGAAAGCGCTTTCAGCTGAGTAGACCTGGACAGCAGGGGATAGTAGCTTTGGTTAGTTAAAGGTGAAGAAGAAAGCCGAGCTGGAGCCAATTTCACTACGAGTTCATTGAGTTCGAGGGTAACAAGGGCCCGGTAAAGTCCCTGGTTGTTGTGTATGAAAGACAAAATGGAAATGTAATTCTGTGTTTGGGCAGAGACTTTTTCCCCTGACCTTTTAAAAAACAATTAGATCACACAGATACTTTGCCATGTATTGTAAGGGACATAACTCAATATAACTATGTATTGATGAAGTGCCAGCCTGCTTGTTCTGACTGCAGCACTGGAAATTGAATAGCTGTAATGAGGTTCATACTGTTAATGAGTTTAGAGTATATACACATTTTCATACACACAAGGATTTAATGTTTTTTTCTCGCAGCACTACCGTTTTAGATATACCACTAATTTAAAATCCATTAATTTGACATGCTTTACTTTAATTTGAATCATTAAATGCCAAATAAGCAGATCAGTATCATGCAACTTTCTTCCCGTAAGTCACGAATCATGTAAAATAGAAGAGATAGTGGCAGCATTGCTAGTTAACTTTGTGTGAAAAGGACAACGTAACCTTATGTTTCACAATTATGTTAATACTCGAGAGAGAGAACAGATGTTGGAATTCAAGGCTATCCGAGTTCAAGGTCGGGCCTCGGAGCAGATGAGCTGCACAGGAACTAAGTGTCTACACGCAGCAGAAAAAAAAGTGAAGAGTTAAGCAGCCACATAAGCTACGTAGAGTCCAGAGATCACATGTTGTCTGTCTTGTGTGGTATTAATCATACTGCTGACCAAGGGCTGTTCTGGAGGCTCTGAGGAGATTTGCACTCCCACTTATCTGCAGATCACTATACATACAGAGAGTGAGAACTCATAGACAGTAGGAACTCTATTTTTGAAGGCCTGATTTTAGAATTTCCTTGACGTGGTAATTATCTGGAGGATGTTTCAATTTAAGATGTTTTTCCCCATTTGTCAGTCAAACACAGTGGGTTAACGTATCAGTTCCTGTACAGCGGAGATTATTTACTGAATACAATAAAGCTGGTCAGCAGTTATACATTTTCACTGAGGAAGGCCGGAGTGTGCTGCCTGGTTTGTATTACACACTGATTAAAAGAATTTAAAATAGAGATGAAGTATGCGTTCATATATTTCAGCTTTGACTGTCGTATTACGTTTTGCCGAGTTGGCTGTTGGTAGATGCTGTCTTGTGCTTTTTGTTTTCTGTCTTTATCTGTAAAGTCAGAAAAATACATCTAGCTAATTCATGAATTAAAGCTCTTTGCAATAAGTAGTTTTTTTTTTTAAACAATGCCAGTATGTGAGAATTGACATTTCCTTTCGGAGATAAGCGAATCCTTCATTTACAGTTTAAGATTGTTCCCTGCGATACCGGCGCACAGTCACCACCCACCGGTCAGACGGGCCGTGATGAGCAATGTCTCAGACGATAAGTCTGCTCATGACAACACCGTGCCAGACTCCACCTGCTCTAAATGCAGATAACTATTGTTTGGCTGTGCAGAGGACAGCTAATTAGTTGTTCCTGCTTAATGTGCAGTGTGTATTCTCAGAGAGACGTATTGCGGTGAAGTTTATTATAACAATCATATCTGTGCTTAAAAAACAAGAAATGAAAGGGGGGAAGTGAAATAACCCATTTTGAGAAATGGTAGAATAACAGTGTGTGGAATTTGTATTTTACCGTAATGATTGCTGAGGCTGTAAGGCTTCCTCTCCTCGTGTTGTCACCTTAGTAAAATCACATTCTTAGACCTTTTATGGTTACTGGAGCTATGACATTAGACTCAGCAGAGATACTGCCATGAGTTATTACAGTGTCACTGTGAAAAAAGCTATCCTCCTGACAGCCCTCGCCGGCTATTATTTCTCCTCACTGCCTCGAGGGTTGCAGGAATATTTTTGTTCCACCCTTTGGCTACCGCAGCTCTAAACCTCACTCTACTCACTGATGGCTGCTTGCAAAGTTAAGGAATTTAAACTTGCACATGAAGAAGAAGCTCAATCCCCTTTGGATTGTAACGTGATTATATGACTTCAATGTAAAGCATTCATTGTTGTTGTCGGTGTTGTTTTTTTATGAGCTGTCTTGCAGTTAGCTAGAGGAGGAGCCAGTTGTCTGGCTGCATGTAGGAGTTGAACTGTGTGCGTTAGTTGATTTACCCTCTACTATCTGCAAAGCATGCCTGCTATGTGTCTGTCACCATTTAGGGAATTCATGAATGACTTGCAGCAGAAAATTCTCTGGAGCCGTATTGTGCATGACTGTGTTTTTTGTATTTGCATATAATGTAAATTGTTGGCATGTGGTATCCTACTTGAGCATGAAAACAATTGGATGAAATAAAAGTCAAATGGGTGACCGAGCTGGGTCAAGTTCCCACTAGGAGGCGGGAGGCAAAACCCTAAAATCCCCAGAGGGAACAACCCAGACACTAATTTAAAAAAATGCTTTTATGTCTGTATTTGTGCACGTACAACCACATGTATGTACCTTGAGGAGGGCAGCAGATATGTGTGTGTGTGTGACGGTGTGTTCATGTGCTCACTATATTGGTTTCTTTTAATATGTCTTGGATTATGTTTTTCATTTGGAGAATATTTGAAAGTGCTCCAGACTGGGAGCGTACTGTCAGTAAATCTTTCAGAAGCATTTTTCTGTGGCTGGTACAGAGTGAGCTAATTTTAACTACTTTAAAAGTACTCAACAGTATATAATCTATAGCAATGCATCATATTTAATGAGCTCATCAAAGCTTTTTGGCGTATAATTTAACAGTAAAATATTCTGGTGAACAGAACGGTAGTTTAAGTTTGCTAAATACATTTCCATTGCAGAAAAGAAAACATTTTTCTTTGTTTTTTGGATGTTTTTACAGCATTGTTTGAAAATAAATACGCCGCATTCTCAATCTGGTTTAAGTGAACTAAGGGCTGCAGCTAATAATTGTGTGCGTGTGTGTGTGTGTGTGTGTGTGTGTGTTGAGGGGGTGTGCTGCTAAAATAATGCCCCAGCTGTCCTGATATCCCACAATTCTACTCAGCTGCACGGTGGAGTGTGATAGGCTGGTGGAGAGGGGGAACTGCAGCAGAGTAGCACCGCTGTCAGGAAACAGAAGCCCACTCTGAATGCAACTCGCGTAAACCAGCTGAACGAGGACGGTTTACCTGGTAATAAACCTTTTTTCTTCTGCTGCTTTTCTCATCATATCTAACACCTCGGCGTAAAGACACGCGCGCGCTTCCCCGGTATGTTCAGCTCTCCGTTTAATCTCCTCTTATTCCGCATTCGGGTCGTCCGACCACAACACCCGCGGCCGCTGACAGATAATTAACATTAAAATACTCTTCTACTGTATTCACTCAGGCGGAAAAGTCGAGCGGACGTGGCTAACCGTGTCGGAAACGTAACCCTTTCATCCCAGCGTTTTTGCATTGTAGCCTTTGCATAACGTTTTAGCGACATGTTTTTTGTTTCTTCGCTGAATGGGCTGCCTGCTGCGGCCGTTATTTTGTAGCTCAAAGTCGGATGTTTCAAAGCAACAAGCCGCTTAAGGTACAGTAGGCTAACGTGCTCCGGTTTCGAGGCAGAAAGTGGGGAAATGGGGGGGGGGGAGACGGGACGATAGATCTGATTTCTTTTCCCCAACCTTAAACCCACGCGTGTTTTTTACATCAGTGGAGGACAGTGCTGAGTCACTGGCAGACACTGCAACATTTGAGCGCAGTTAATGGATTACAATTGTTAAATTGTCGGAAGGTTAAGACGACATTCTTGAGTGTTTTTGATCTGCAGTGCGGTAGGCGTGGTTAGGGGCAGGATGACACGGGCTGGATCCTCTTTTAGCATCCTCACATCCTCGTAGGCAGGAGATGCAATGGCCGGAGTCTGACTTGACAATTTAATTAAGATGCACAGTAAGCTGTTGTTGCAGTAGCATTGGAGGCAGCGACATCGTGGGCCTTGTTAGCAGGCTCTCGTAGTGTATGCATTGAAGAGAGCCCAGCATAATATGTTTTTAAACCTGTTAACAGTGTGTTAGAATAATAAGATAACTGTCTTTCTGTCACACATTTGTTTAAAAACTGCTGACTTTATTTGAGGATGATTTTTCTGCAAAACCCAACTTCTGTAGCCATGGCGAAGCTTTACAGGCATGAACAACAAGTCAATCCCAAAACAAATCTGTTTTTAGGGCTTTTGGATTTCCAGAAACATGACACCCTTTTTCCTTCCTTATGATTGGCTGACAGTAAACACAGAGACACAATGGGGTCACTTAAAGGTAAACTGCAAAAGCCTCTTTTCATTGTTTTTTTTTGTTTTTTTAAAGTCAACAAGGGTGAATTTGATGACGTCACCTTGTGACTATTTTCTGACGCCAACTGATGAATCGTGAAAATGAGAAGCAGATTATGAGCACAATGTCCAAAATAACTAAAAGTGAATGTGGTGAAGGCGTGTCCCAGCTGATGTCAACAACCCATTTTAACATGGTGCTCTCCTGCAGACATGATTGGTGATCAAGTCACAGCTACTTTACTGATTAATTATAGCTAATCGCATATGCTTCATCCCCGTTGGCCCGTCTAGCAAGTTATTAGCTCCGAGATATCGTTCTGATCTTTTACATTAACGGGGGATTTTTCTTTTGTCAAAGGTGCTGTGCAGCTGAACAGAGTGCTGCTATACATGTATTTCAGATATTTTCCCTGTCGGACTCATTGGTGGTGTTTGTGCCAGACTTTCAAGGAAAATAACCCTGACCTTAAGCGACCGCACGGCCACGAAGACATTAGATGTGGCGAATAATAATAACAATAAGTTAGCTGGTCTGTCTGTTGTATCCCTGAGTGCCTTGCTGCGAGTGACAGTAATGCTAAGAATGTAAACGCAGTGGGCTGACAGGATTTATGGCCTCCTCAGCAAAGATGCTCTCAGCCTGAAGTCACCTTCATGTGACGAGTATCCCTTCCCCAATTGCTGCTGTTGAGCTGGGGAGTGTCTGGTCTTGTTCGGTCTACAAGGGTTCAACTAAAAGGTCTGTGAAAAGCCACTGGAATGGCTACGAAATAGAAAAAAATAGAACGTTCAAGAACGCATGTGTTTCAGCTGTTATGAGACATGTGCGTTTCACAAAATAACCTTCAGTTAAGCAGTGGATGACGCTTGTGCACTCAGTTGCCAGTTTATTGCGTGCAGCTATCTAAAACGAATGCAGCCTGATAGACTGCTTTAGACTGCTTCAACAAAAACTGAACACTGTAACATTCATGAAGGTAGGATTTATTGTTTTATTCCACTGTACCTAATAAACTGGCAACTGAGTGTTGATGCAAAATATGTCTTCATCCCAACACTAAAATAATAAGATAAGAAAAATAAAAACCAATGTCTTCACTTTAGATGTTTTGCTCATTCTACCATGTCACTCATTCTACCATTTTGTACCATTGTAGCTTCGTAGGAAGTTTTTTCTAATAGAGGGCTCTGTTATTGGCTGGCCTGTTTGTTGGCTCTATAAATTAAATATTAGTTGCCAGACCTGTCTCTATACTTAATTTATGCTGCACCAGAGCCGGAGAATAGTCTGGCTGAACGTACTGAGGTAGAGCACGGATCTGTTGATGTTTCTTGAATTGTTAAAGGCAGGACGACACTTTGCTAAGCCGTGAGATGTTATTGAGAAACATGTTGTATGCATGTCGTATGCCTAAATCAACTTTGTCAAAATGTCTGTCCTTACATTGCAGGTTGTTGTTTCAGTGAGGAACAGCAATAGTCTATAGAGAGTCAGGCAAGCAATTAGTTCCTGGTGTTGCTTATTACACCAGTTTAGTGGACTGACAAGTTCAACTTTAGCTCGGTTCATTTCAGTCTAACGTTATTCTAGGGCTGCAACTACTGATTGCTCTCAGCATTGATTCATTTGGTTATTATTTTCCTAACTAATCAAGTAGATATTTTGCACAACAAAGAATGTTCAGCAAAGTTTACATAAGCCTAAAATGATGTTCAAAAACCAGACACCATCCAAAACACAGACGAGATTTACGAGATCGTAAGACAGGGAAAGGATAAATTCTCACTTTGGAGAAGCTGGGGACATGAAAATAATGCTAAAAAATAGTATTTTATTCATCATATAAGTCCCTTTCAAAAGTAATTTTGGTTATTGTGACAGTTTACCTACTCACCAGTAGTTTACATTTATGGTGGCACTCTATTAGGCCTGGCCTAATCCAAAGAAATTGTTAAATTGACTAATGCTCGTACAATTTTGTCGACTAATCGGTTCGTTGATTTAATGGACAGATCTGTAAAACCTGAGTTTTTCTCTGAAGAATCAGCAAAAGCTCCACTTTAAATCTTGTGTTTACAGAGATGTGCTCACTAGTTTCTTGGAATGAAGTCATTCTAATTGACTAAAAAGATTTTGGTCGACTAAGACCAACAACAGATTAGTTGACTAATAAACTGAGAGGGGACAGCCCTACACACACTGTGCATGCAGAGCTAATGGTGCATGCAATGTAAGTCACTGCAGTTAAACGTATTCACTGAATGCCTGAAATCTAATGTAAATGTGAAATGACAACAAACGTAGGAAACGAACACGGTTTGCCTGGAATTGAAGTCACTTTCACGAGAAGACAAATCAATAAATGTGTTTGTTGTTTTGAAGTCAGGACACTTCGGGGATCTGTGGCCCCTCAGCAGAGGTAACTCTCACTTGAGTGGCCAGACCAGCTACATGGTATCCTGTTACAGGAGCTGTTGTGTGTGGCAGCTGTCAGCCCTGCAGCCATGTAGAAGGGTCTCATCATAAACTGCAGGCCCACTCAGGATGGGCCTGGACGTGTCAAAAGACGCCAACTATTCCCCTGCATGTAGCCTCCATAAGCTCCTCAAGGGGTTATGGGTGTGGGGGGGCAGGGGTGACAGGGATGGGCCCAGCTGTGGTTTACTCTGGCTAATGGCACTCAGCACAGATGGCAGTTCCTCGTGTGTGTGTGTGTGTGTGTGTGTGTGTCACTTTCCAACAGTACGCATTACAATCACAAATGGACCTTTTAAAATGGAAGTGTGCATGCATGGGGCAGCACCACAGTATTTAGTGTCAGTGATCTATTATATAATGTAGCTACATATTGATAGACCCCTGATTAACCTTTAATTGCGCTGTTCTGATGGGTAGCAGCTTCTCATTCTTGGGTTGTAGGTAGAGGTTGTGAACATTAATTAGGCTGTTTCTGCCTTCTCAGCCAACAAAAGGTAGTTGGACATCTTTGAGTTTTGTTTATTTAAGCCTGCAGTTACTTGCGAATGTTGAAAGGTAGATTTGAAATGATTCGGATATGATAAGTAGATTCAATACTGTCTTGAATCCATCCCTGCTTCCTGTGCGCCTGAGGATCTTTGCTGTAAAACAGCAGCTGTTTCTGACAGCAAATGTAAAAGCTTTAATAACCTGAAATGTTTGAATCTCTGTAACTCAACATTATTCAGCAATCGAGCGGCAACGCACGCGTTTAATGTGTTCGAAAGTCTGACAGATGATTAGATTTGAAAGACTTTTGCTTCAAGCTGAATCTCTACATTGGTGCAATAATCAGCCGCTCCTGTATACCAGCAGTGATCCAGGACACTAAATGAGTTGTGAACACAGCTTTCTGAATGCGTTATGTATGTGCCAGTCCATGGTGAGGGCCACACACACAAGGCTACTTTGTGAGGGCTGTTGTGCGGCCCCGTGAAGAGTGCCTGTCACCAGTGACTGAACGTATTCTTCCTCCATTTCTATGGTGCTAAGATGTTCCTTTCCTTCCCTCCTACTATAGTTCCCGTTTCATATGGGGCTTGAGAGAGAAGCAACGGTTAGCTGTGCAGCCGTCGCTGATTACTGAGCCGCTCCTCAACTCTGCCACACGTGACACAAGAAAGTAGCAGAGCGCTTCTCAAAAGGACTCCAGTTGAATTTGCCTTAGAGGTGGTTTTAGCATTAGTTAGCCTCATTTGGAAAATATGGTCTTTTTAAAAAAGCCAGGGTTGGAATTTGGATCTTGTGACTTCTTCGCTTCATGTACGTTTTCCGCTTCTCAGGCCTGTAATCAACATTCGGCCATCTTTACGGCCTTTTTATGGCACCTGAAGTTCTTGAAGTTTAAACCCGAGTAAGAGTTTGATCAGCATGTTGCGTTCAGTGACCCTTGATGTTCCTGATGATAGCGTGTGCAGAAGTAACGTGTCCAAGTCCAGATCATTCTGCTCCATTTGAACACCAACAACTCTCTGCTGAAGTGTTTTGTGTTACTTGTTAAATCTTTATTTGGCTTTGTATTGTATCCCCATTTTAAGTGATTCCATAGGAATTCAAACCCACTGCTTATTTGCAAATATGAATTACCCTTTGGCTTTCAAAATCACAATTTCCTACTTAAGAAGTGTATCATTCTGCATTACAATAAGCAGTAATACCAAATGATATTGAATCAAGATGTTGTTCTCCCTAGTTTACACGCTATTAATCACACCTATGGCGCTTTAAACGAGACAACAAAACACTCCTTTCAGTTTAGCTTAAAGTATTTTAAAGCATTGTATCTGTCAGAGTGTAAGATGAACAAAACAACATGGAGGCATGATGAGAGCAGGGACTCCAGCTGTTAATAAATCCAGCTATGTGCCAGCCAGTCCTGTTCACAGCAGGACACGTGGCGTTAGGCATGTGGGCCAAATTTAGTCCTCGAAAAAGCTTTCAAGAACTGAGACGGGTTTCTTATTACAAATTGTAAAGTATTTTGGCCCCCTAAAGCGAATTCCTGCTTGAGCTGTTTCAAAAATAATCAATACCTGTGATACTCTTTTTTTGTTTTTGTTGCTTTGTTTTTACATCCATAGTTTCCAATTGTAGTTGTTGTAGTTTTTCATAAAACATGGCCGTTGTTTTGGGGATCACCTCAGCACCACAGTGTTGCTGTTGTTGATCCAGTGGCCGCTGTCCCCCGGCTGGAAGTCAGAGATCCTCCCCCGAATCCTCCCGGAGTAAAGACGGCCCTATAAATAGAGCTGGCCGACAGCAGAATGACAGGCATCCGTACTACAAACCCCAGACTCCCTGCAGCAGAGGCCCCAGTGTGCTGTCCCGAAAACACGCCCTCCTAACCCCCACAACCCAATGTCGAAGTCTGTGGGTACGGTTAGCACAGGGAGCCCCTGGTGCAATCTGTCCCATCTGTCCTCTTCGTTTGGCAAAACCGGCTATTAGATGTTTCCTCTCGTTACACGGTTTTTGGGCCCTGGGGGCGGCATCTGTCGCTGGTTTGCTGCTATTGACAGAGGGAAGGTCGTGCTCTGAGAGACATGTACTGCTGGTGCACTACATGTACTTTGGAGGGTTGTTTGCAGGGTTGCCGCCAGTGTATTGCAAGTCCACGGTGGGCATATTATTTTCATTCAGGATTTATTTTTTATTTTTTCTGCTTAACTGATTGTTTTGGAGCCGAAACATTACGTATATAATGTTAGTCCATCAACAGAACAAGAATTTGCTGATGGTTCAGGTCATGTTTTTAAAGCAAAAGGCTGAATATTCTCCAGCGCGCTGCTTTTTTCTGTTTTATTCCGTTTTATTTGTTGTAAACTGAATATCTACAGTTAATAGAGAAAAACGATAATGACAATAATCCTGAGTTGCAGTCCACGTGAGAGTGTTTTGAGCCAGTTATGTGTGATACATACAAGAAAGAAAGAATACTAAATAATAAGTATTTGATTTATCTTTTTATGTAATTTATTGCCTCTAGTTTCTCTCCTCTCTCTCTTTTGTATCTCCGTGTTTCACCGAGGGCGGACTGTGGACAGTGAGATGGCATTCAAACACTCTGCAGTCTCGCTACCAAAATGAGTCCCTGAATAGGAAAATGAATGCCCCCTCAAGTCAAAACAACAACTACCCCCTCCCCCCCAAAAGAAAAGCAGTCGCCCTCGAGGGAAACGCTGAGTATATTGTAGAAACTGTGGATGTCGGGGCACCAGCAGTCTAAGCACTTTCCATCATCAGCTGTTGAGATTCTTAAAAACGAGACTTGAGTGCACCAAAACCACTTTACCATCATTTTTTTTTAGTCTGCTGTGAAACAATATCCACATGTCTACATTTGCATCAGAGAGCAGCTGACGGTAGATAAATTCATAACTAGTCAGCTGACTCATCTAGCTGTCCCCTTTACCCCCCCCCCCCACCCTCCACACTCCAGCGTGATTCACCATGACAACTGAATCAGGAGCAGACTCGGAGGCCAAACAGCCGCAGGAGAACAAGGAGACGGAGAAGGCGAAGGCTAAAGCAGCAGCCGAACCCACCTCGCCTCAGAACCAACCGGAGCAGCTCCCCGCCGCCGCCGCCGGACACAGCACCCCGGCCAGGAAGGAACAGGTCAGCCTCTTCGTAATTCACAGTCAGCGAAAAATCATTCAGCTTCAAACATACTTTTTCGATATTCTACTAACACTTAAGTCATTTATTTGAAGGTGTTTTTATTGTGGTGTAAACACCGTACGTATCCCTTTTAGATTAGCTTGACATCCGAGCCATTCGTCCCACTCCTGAATGAATTGTGTCTTTGTGTGAAAAATGTAAATGAACAAAATAAAAACTGACACCATGACCTCAGTGTTCTCAGTGGCGCTTATAGCCATGCAACAGATGCATCCGTCTTTCAGTCAGTGCTCGATGCTTTCATTCTGGAGATGATGTGAAAGACGTATTGGAAAATGTAATTGTTCCCAGTCAGCGGATTTGACTGATTCACTGAGTAAACAGACCTACTGAAGAAAAGCTCAAGGCTTATAGCAGTTCATGGTTCCAGATCTCTAGTTCAGGTCAATGAAATGAACTCTTGCTTTGAACTGCAAAGATGACTTATTGTCGATATGTTGAGTAGACTCGGGTCCACACTGCATCTTTAACCGTGGGGTATTCAAAAATAGTAAATGAAATCAAGAACCGCCATTTTGGCGATAGCGAGCAGAAATGGCAGGTTGGTTTAATTCGCTCTCTCGATGAATTAATGCGTAAAGATTTCCACTCTCTGGATGGGCCTTTTCTACCCTCCTGGCTGTGAGTGATTACAAACGCATTGCTTTTGTAAGCCGAGTCCGACTGGCAGGGGAACTGATATGCTTCTGTACTTTCGTAGGTCCAAGAGGCACTAAAGTAATTAAAAATGTGATGTTATGCCATTTTCATATGTCGTCCTCCCAGTCACTGATGGCTGATGGATATGTACACCAATTTAAAACCATGCGATCGCCGCAGTGTAGCTGCTGAAGGTTCCCAAATAAAATAGCTTGTAAACCAGGAGTGGGAAAAATGGGTGGGGCAGCATTTGGTGATCTGTTATGAAGAAGAGTGAAGCCCTCTGCAGCCCCACTGATGTTCTCTAAAATCTAAAGTGCTCGGCCCAAACAATCTATTATCTAATCACTCTACAAATTGAATTTCCAGTGCTTCTAAACTGCAGTGGGGCTGTTTCAGACTGGAAGCAGATTCCTGCTTATTCCTTAAGCTTGTAGCTGGTGTTCTTATCTGAGAGTTCTGATGAAGATAAACACTGTATTGAGTTTAAACTTATAGATTTCCGTCATTTACAATCAGCCGATGTTAAGGAGTCGAAAGTCACCACAGCCAGATGTGGACCGGCAGTAAAAAGTCAGTGCTGCTTTTGAGATGTTTTGCCTTTCTTGTGACGTGCTGCGTGTTAATGCAATCTGAGCACGCTCAGGCTCACGGCCCCGCTGACCGAGCACTGCGGCTTTTATCATGATGTGGAAAAAACAAAGTATGGAAATGTTTGAGGAGAAGAAATAGAGCATGAGTCGATGCGCAATTCATAATGGACGGTAATGAGAGAGCAGCAGATGCAGGGTGAGGTGAGGGATGGATTCATCATGTCCTGGCAATGTCGCAAAACATAATCTTAGCACAATTTTAATGAAAAAAATATGAATGTACACATTAGAAAGCTAGCGCATGACCGACATGATGATGCACACCCTTGAGATTATACAACATTGTGAACATCCGATTTAGCCTTGCTGTGTATACTGAGCTAATCATCTGATTCATTTATCTGTTTGTATAAATATCATTCGCGATGCACCAGTCAATCAACCGATTTTCAGCTTGATCGGCCATGACCAGTGACCGGCCAGTCGGTCTGAAATATAGCCACTTCTGTGCTGATCATGTTTACACTCGTGTGCTGCATGTTGGTTCACGTCGAGCAGTAACCGACGATTATCACGGCCACACACACACACACGATAATCATGGTAATCCTGCAGCAGCAGTTCAGATGTTTCAGTCAGTATCAAAACTAGCATGGCCACTAGCATGGCCAAAAACTATTTTTTTTAAATGTATAATTTACTTCCTTGCGTCCCTTAAGGTGTTACCTATCTGCCAATTCACACAGCTCCGACAATGTCAGAGCTGTGTGAATTGGCAGGAACTGGGCTGAGAAATATCACAGCAGCCTGACACAACAATGTCTGTGTTTCCTGTGAGACACATGCTCAGGCTGAGATATCTCTCTGGTCCAGCACGGTGCACATACAGTATGTGTAAAATCTCAGTAGTAGAACTGTAGACGGAGGCCACTTCATTCATACTGTATCGTTCACGAATAATCCCTAAAGGTTTTGAATACATTTGGTAATTCTTGGAAATTCGAACGAAATCAAATCTAAAATTAGACTTTAATCCTTATGTTCTCTGAAGGTGACTGCAATGTCCTTCTGTTGTTCAGCACTACTTCTAAAGGGGTCTACTTGAGCTGCATTAGATAGATACAATGTGATGGATTCAGCCTGTATAACAAGATAAGAATTTTTCAATACATGAATGAAACGGGGGCATTAAATCCACTCTGTGTGCAAGTATGAATGAAAAATGCCTCAAAGCCAGAGGCCTCTTTTCCACCATGAAGTCAGTCAGCGAGGGCTTTGTTTTCAGCCAAGTGGAAAATTGGATTTTCTCTATTTAAGACAAAATGGCAGTGCACCTCTAGCTCTCCTCAGTGGGACCCGATTACATTTACACAGGGTCCCAGTCTCCAAATTAAGGTTTTGAACATGTGACAGGACTGCTGGTTTTGTCAAAGACGACTACATTAAGGAACTGACGTTGAGGGCAGTTGGGTAAGGAAATAGTGAACAGAAGGTCTTTTTCATTTCTGATCTGTGAATACTTTAAACCTAAAATCAGAATGCCATTCATACAATGAAATTAATGTAGAAACGTCTCGCTGCTTCACTACGTTTAACAAAAACAGAGAAAACTGTGATTCATCATTCAACTAATTACTGTTAAACAAAAGTTGTTGTTTTCTTCCTCTCAGGAGCAGCAGGAGGGGGACCAGGTATCACACAGGTCATCCACCAGTCGTCTCTCCAGGTCTCCTTTGAAAGGAGTGAAGAAGACGAAGATCATGGAGTGTAAAGTCACCATGCTGGATGGCTCCGACTTCACACTCAATGTAGAGGTGAGAGGAAGCGGGAGACTTTTTGTTAGAGGGTAGTAAGGTAGGGAGGAATGTAACCGATGTAATGCATACAGGGCATCTAGCCGACGCATAATTCACTTCTTTAATTTCAGGATAAAACAGAGTTTAAGTTTGCAACTACATTCAGTTTTCACTTTTCTAATTTTGAGCTGGAGTCTGAAGGTATATTCAGTTATTTAATAGGCCGTCAGCACTTTTCCTGACAAAAAGGGTGGAACGGGGTTCATAGAAAAGTTATAATCATTTCGGTAAACGCACAATACGTGGCACCATTTAAGCCTGGATTTCACAAAACATTAAAATGATGGCAACTTTGATTACTGCATTAATATGTCAAAACAGAAGCGTGATCCACAAAGACATTGTCATAGGGAGCTGACGCTGCACCCTTAACTGCTGGTTTAACAGCCCTTCTAAGAAGGATTTAATGGATTTCACTACACATTTGCATTGTGTCAAATTTGCTTTGTGGAATTTGTCTTCCCTCCCTAAGCTTCTCTATGTAGTCTTGAAAGAGAAAAAGCAATTCACACAACGGTTCTTAAATGTTTAGTTCTTACTTCAAAGCTCATCCAGAAATAAACCCTCTGAGGAGAGGAGAGCCAACAATCGGCTGGAAAACACGTGTCTTTGTGTTGTAAACGTGGAGCTTGAAACACGGCCACACCAGCCGCGTGGCTTTTATCATCATGTGGAAAAAATAAATATGGAAATGGGATTTATTTTGCGGAGAGAAGACATACAGCACGAGTTGGTTGTTAATCATTATGGGTCACGACGTGAGAGGAGGGTGAGGTGTTGAATGGATTCATTATGTTCTGCCCTGGCCATTGCAGCAAAAGGGATACCAAAAGTTAAATGTTTTAAATTGAATTGGCCAAGATAGTTCTATCACTAGAACGTGGTTACCAGGATAAAGCCTGCACAGATACGTGTCTTGTCTCACATTGCTTTGTAAGGCTACTTGAGTGGAACAATTACTGATTGTCTATAGATTTAAGTATCCAGTGTTCAGAAGTAACTCGTACAAGAGGAGGCCTTCAAAGAAATGTATTTTTGTTATAAATGTGAGTGTCACAGTAGCGTCTTTCTGCCTTCGAACAATCGTTCTTTCTCTTCGAGAATTATCAATTCAGGAATAAATCTGAATAGTGAACTTATTTGACATTTCACTTTTACATATTTATGTCCTTCACAATGGAAAGTTGAGCCTTTTCTCAAAGTCTTTCAACTTTGTACATTCTCAGAATGTGTGCAGGCTGAACAGGGAGAACCAGACGCTCCTCCTCAAATCTCCTTTTGAGCAGATTCCTCCCCACCAGGGGTTTGGATAGAGGGATTAGCTGGCTGTTCTTGTGTTGGTGGTAAAGGGGTTCAGACTGTGAAATGAGAGCATTTGTTGGAGGGAATCGGTGTCATTGAGTCTGTGTGTTAACATGATTACTTTAATGTCCCACTGTGGCCAAGGAGGGAGTCTTTAAGGACAGGGATCTGGAAACCGGGGTCAGTCTGGACTTCCTGCCCTTGAGACAGTGGCAGAAAGGGTTTCTGCAGCGCTGAAATAGCTGCATGTTGAGATTCGACAAATTTATATTTTCATGCGCACTTGCAGACAATATGCTTTAAGTCGTTATCCTTTATCTAAATGTAAAATGAAAGTAGATAAACTGACATCACTGGATTGAAACCTGCTTTCAGGATGCAGGTATTTTAAAGGGGAACGCAATCAATGTTGTTTATTTCCATAAAGGTCGGGGACTTGTAGGAAAGATTAATGCAGCAAAAGCTTTTGGTCCCAAATGAGGGTCAAACTCAAAAAACTCTGGATCCCATGGTTCCCCCAACTCAACAAGGTAAAACTGGTTGATCGGCCCTTTAATGATATTTAACAACAGACAGCAACCAAATCTGATTTAATAGTCTTCTCTATTCTCTAAATTATGATCCGTTAATAAAACTTACTTTACATCTAGAAGTCAGATTATTCAGTTCATAAAATATGACGATGAAATAAGCTCCATTTGCAAAACCTCAATAGAAATGCAAGTGTAAGAAATGACATTCAGTACAGCCCAAGTCTGCTTTTTCCATATGGTCGTGACGGATGCAGGCGCCTTTTTAGGAAAGAGCAATAATACAAAATCAAGCTGCTAGAGGATGCAGTGGTCATGCTGTAGGCACGAGTCACACTTAGATGATGTTGGTAGTTGGACAATACTCACAATCACAGGAACCATTTCAAAAAATGGTCACACTAGAGAACAGTAAACAATCAAGCTAATGGCTAATGAGTTGCTTACTTAGCAGATGAGTACTCATCGTAACCAGTAAGGCACATTCATGATGAGTCGGAGTGCTTTTACTGAAGAAACAAAGAACAAATCAGTTGCATGAAAGAGTCCCAACAGCTGACTGTGAAACACAGCAGACATAGGTCAGCTTATGGTGTACGACACTGTGATACAATTGAGGTCAGAGGATTCTCAGATAATTGCCAGGCAGTCCTCCTCCTCCCAATCCTATTTGAAACTGGTCCAGAATGTGGAGATTTGACACTTCTATCCCTCTGACCTTGTAGTTTTCCCAGCTCAACTCCACGTCTGCACGAATCCTTTCCTATCATTTTCTGTGACACAGAGCTGCTGAACCTCCCCTACCTCACTTCAGAGGGTGTTCTGTCTCAGTGGAGGTGGATAAAAACCCACATCTCACTGCCTGCGATTTATAACAATAACACATATTTTTGAAAATCACTCTAGCTTAGATGCACATCTCTATCGTACCTCTGAAGCACATGACAATGCATGCTAAATGTAGGGCTGCAACAATTTGCGGATTAATTAGTCGATAGATAAACTACTATGAATCTGCAGCTATTTTGATAATCATTTAATTGCTAGAGTAATTTAAGCAAAAAGCCACACATCTTCTGGTTGCATTTTCTCCAATGTGAGGATTTCTTTTGTGATTGTAAACTGAATATCTTTGTTACTTAATTTCAAATTAGTCGACAGTTAAGTGGATAATGAAAATCATTAGTTTCAGCCCTACTTTTAATTCATGGTTTGGTGATGCTAGTTCATATAATCCTTGTGAATCTCCAAACTCACTGCAGCCACTTCTTTTGTTTCCTCTTTAAATTTGATCAAGATTGATGTTTCTTTTCTTATTCGAGATCCAATTTCCTTCTGATCTCATTCTCTTTAACAACCCTCGGGAAGACGGAACAGAAGCCAGATCAGATCTGCTGCACTCCACGGTCGGCCTGTTAGACCACTGTTTGACGAAACAGGGGCTTGCAGATCGCAACCTTTTTGTGATTTGTGTGTGTGTGTGTGTGTGTGTGTGTGGGTGGGTGTGTGTGTGTGTGTGTGTGTGTGTGTGGGTGGGTGGGTGGGTGGAGGTTCTGCCAGTAAAGCCAAGGGTTGTGTTCTGAATCCACCGTCGCAGCAGGCCAGCAATAGTCTGTCACGACTCTGCTAATTCCCTCAGAGATCTTCTGGTGGGATTGACTCTCTGCCTTCAGCGGCTTTATGGCTCTGTTCAAAATAACGCAGAGACACTACCGAGTTCTCATCCTAAAAGAGGACCAGTGTACGCGTCAAGTGATGAAACCGTGTGGGTGGATGGTGGTATAAATGTACCATGTGTGTTGTGGATTACTTCTACATTCCAGCAAGATATGCGTGTTTATTTCCATCTGTACCTTCATGTCATGGGCTACATTTGACAGAAGGTGTGTTATGACTCCTGCTGTTTGCATAAGCTGTGGCAGTGGTTTTCAATAAATCCAGATGTGAGGAGCTGGCTTTAGCTTTGTGCAGGAAGGAGACGTCTGTGTTGTGGAAACTCGGACCTTAAAATATCTTATGCGACTCCCACCGCCTCCAGCGGGGGAGTCGACAGCGCTCCAGCCATTGACATCCGGCACTCCGCGAGAGACGTGCAATTGATCGGTTTTAAGTGTTCACATTGCTGATGTTCATGAATTTGAAAGGTGTATTTATACTACCATGCTTTTTATAGGAGGAGTTGATCCATAGTGGCCCAGTTAGTCAAGCGTTGCTGCAATACCTTTGAGGGTTAACTCCTGCAGGAGAGGCTCTGTGATGCAGCAGTGTAATGTGCTGCATCATCATGCTGTTTAAATAATTGAAAGCTTTGATTTCATATTGCGGTTTTCTGAAAGAAAAAAAGTTCAATTATCTCCAATGACATCATTAGATAAGTTAGGTTTGTTTTGATGTCATGTGGTTTATTATGCGTTTTGTCTTCATCATTGATAATGGTGAAGGTTCACAAATATGAACGGCCGTAACATTAGGAAAACTCTTCTCATGCAATATAACACGCTGATTCTGGCAGTACAATCCTTTTTAAATGATACTCTCTTCTTCATAAAAGGTGTAAAAGATGCGATGACTTTCGGTGTACTTCTTGTTGAATGAGTTTATTTCTTTCTCACAGAAACGAGCCAGGGGCCAAGTGCTCTTTGACAAAATATGTGACCACCTCAATCTCCTGGAGAAGGACTACTTTGGCATCACATGCAGAGATGTAGAGAACCAGACGGTAAAGGAAAATGTATAATGTGCTAATTATCAGTTTTTATGAACTTATTATTAAAGTAATGTTATAGAAGATCCAAATATGCTAAAGGACGTTGAATAACGTGTAAACTTTTTAAAAGTCCATCTGTAAAAGTGCACTTGAGGAAGTCATTTAAAAGAAACATTTTGTTACGTTTTTTTATTAATTTGCTCACAAACTTCTGACGACAAATGCGTCTGTCTGTTGCAGAATTGGCTGGACCCTTCCAAGGAGCTAAAGAAGCAGATCAGGAGTAAGTCTAGTAGTCTAATAAAGCCACTCGAGTGTTAAGTCTTTAACAGCCCAACAAGGTGTATGCAATTGTAAAATGCTGCTTCAATAATTCAATGTTCTTTCTACTCCTCAGCCGGACCCTGGAACTTTGCTTTCAACGTCAAGTTTTACCCTCCAGACCCCTCCCAGCTGACTGAGGATATCACAAGGTGAGTTAGCGGCTAATCTACAATTGATGAGTATGCAGGTAAACACATATATCTTTTTTTTTTTTTTTTTTAAACCCAGAAGGTTTACAAAGAAAATCCCGATGTTACATTTTATAACAAACTAAATAAGTTGACTGTTCTGTTTGTGTCCTGTTCCTCCCTCAGGTACTACCTGTGTCTGCAGCTGAGAGACGACGTGGTTTCAGGCCGTCTGCCCTGCTCCTTTGCCACCCACACGGTGCTGGGCTCCTACGCAGTGCAGTCTGAACTGGGAGACTACGACCCCGAGGAATTAGGCAGCGACTACATCAGCGAACTGCGCGTCGCACCCAACCAAACCAAAGAGCTAGAGGAGAAGGTCATGGAACTCCACAAGACCTACAAGTTAGTCTCGGCATGGTTTCCTAAACTCTTTCTTTTATGCTACTCGCCATAACTTTTGATCAAGAATGTACTCTTCAGTACACTGTGCTGCTTCTGTGAAAAGAGTGGATATTAGACAGAATTCAAAATGTGTAAAGGTTACTGATGTGAGAAAGGTAATAATAGAAGGCAATTCAAATGAGCATATCAACAGTACTTCTCCCAAGGCAAGGCAGTTCCTCGGTGCCGCTTGTCTCCAGTGGTACAGGAGGTCCTCAGCCCAGCCTGTCTGCCGCTTAGAAGCTGGGTGAACATATGCCTGTGCTGATTACCTGATGCAGGTGTGACCAATGCCATGTGCCTAGTGGCTGCAGCACCTGAACTGAACCTGACCCTGAACTCCGCCCCCTATTCTGGATCTGCTTGGCTTTTCCCCCCTGGTTTGCCACAATATACAGTATATAAAAAATGTACTAGTTATACAGCTTTTAAGTTAAAGCCCCAGATTTCACAATTTCTCTTTTACTATTAAATAATCTTGGTAAAAGAATAGTTAAACACTCTACTACTATGTCACGATTTAGATTGAAAATTGATCGAAATGACCTTTCGATTTCGACCTTTGAAGCCAAAAGCAGTAGATGCGACTTCAAATTTGCCCTCCCCGTGAGTCACGTAAACAACAAACGCATCGCCTCATTAACCGTAAAACTACATTTTGTTGGCTGCAGAAGATGTAGACACTGCAGCAACCATTGGACAATATCCAAAAATCTGAGACAAAATCGATAAATAGGTTTTTAGAATCTCAGAACCCAAAAGCCACACAGAGCACCTGAGTGATTACAGCCTGGAATAATACTCTGTTCTGAAAGGCAGCGTGTCTCCGCATTAGATTCATGTTTTCCTGTAAATGGATATCGCTGGCTGTCCTTTGTCTGACAATAATTTGATGCAGTCCTGTGTAGCTTACTGGATGGTGCAAGGCAATGACAGAGCATAGATTTAAGGTCTCTCTAAAGACCCATCTATGCTAAAAATGGATGCACTCATGCTACTCTGTTGCTCTTCAGTTAATGGCATCCATAAAAACGACCATTTCCCAAAAGCTTTCATGTAGTAAAACTGAATTATCCCTGTTTTAGATGGTATTGGTCTCTTATCTCTTTAAGTGTTGCATGTTCACATTGGTCAGAGAGCATCACATCTCTTTGCTGTGCTTTCCCTTGTTTGACCTGTTCTGTTGTGTTCTATCAGGGGCATGACACCAGCCGAAGCAGAGATACACTTCCTGGAAAATGCCAAGAAGCTGTCCATGTACGGCGTGGACCTCCACCATGCTAAGGTAACAAGTCACTGCAAACTGTTATTCTACATTGTTCATATCATATTGGAAAATAATACATTTGTTCACTGAAGTTGTTAATTCCTTTCACAAGTTGGCAAGGGAACTGATTTAAGTGTTTTTTTTTTTTTTTTTAAATATAAATATAATTTGTATGCAATGACATTTCTTTCTATTATCCTTAAAGGAATAGTTCAACATTTGGGAAATTACACTTGTTCACTTTCTTGCTGAGAGTTTGAAGATCGATGTCTGTACTTTAAATAGGAAGCTACAGTCGAGTAAGTCTGTTAACTTAGCTTTGCACAAATACTAGAAAAAGGGGAAAACATCCATCCTGGCTCTGTACAAAGCGGACAAAACCCAACTACCAGCACATCTAAAGCTCACTAATTAACGTTTTTATTACCTTTGGACACCGCCAGGCTAGCTGTTTCCCCTTGTTTCTAGTCTTTGTGCTAAGCTACCCAGCTGCTGGCTGTAGCTTCATGATTACCGTACAGACATGAGATCCTTCTTTCAATCGCACTCTCTGCAAGGAGGTGAATATGTTTATTTCCCGAAATGTTGAACTATTCCTTTAAGTTGTACACTAGAATGTCACTCGTGACTCCAGTAATGTTGGTTGTTTCCAAGATGCATTAAAGGGATAATTCAGATTATTTTCAGTGGGGATGTTTGAGTTACTTATCTATACTCTGTGTATCACCTCCAGTGAATGACAGTCAGAACACCCACAGTTTGGAGAAAGTACGGAAGCGAAGCAATGTTCTGCTGAGGACGGGGACAGCAGCAAAACGTATCATTGCAACCTAAAAAAATTTAGGTTGCTATATTTATAATATTTTTGATCGGTAACTGGAAGTGAAACTTGACAATGGGGGTTGTGGCCTTGAAGAGAGCATAAATAAGTTTTTAGCTTTCCTTTCAGTTCCCCATCAGGCTATCAGACCCCCCCCCCCCCCCGTCCCCTGCAGTACATGGCTTTGCTTCTGTGTTGGTACTCCTGTCTGTTTCTCCAAACTGGGGACGTTCTTACTGCCAACTATTTTTAAGTAATAAAAGATCCTCATACAACCCCACTTCGAACTTTGTCTTTTAAGAAGTGTGCGAGTGATATGTTAAAACGTAAATGTTTCTTTTTATGCTAGATGAGACTAGCACATTCCACTCACGCAGTCAAAAGTGACGCTTGCCTCCACAACACCGCTGCTTCAAAAACATGCCGGCTGCCACAGTAACGCCTCCGTTTGACATGCCTCTGTTTCGCTGATTGACTGATTATTATGTGGATTTGGGGGGGCTGAAGGGTGGGGGGTGGGGGTGGGGGGGGGGTCTGGAGCCCAGCTTGACTTGGAATGATTTTTTTGCCATTTCTAATCCGCCGGCCAGATGGGATCGAACGCATCATTAGAACACAGGCAGCAAAGAGAGAGCTGGATTACAACTGCAGCACCGCTGTCATCGTAAAAGAACATTGCAGTCATCAGTCTTGATATGAATCAGTTCTCAAAAGCGCTTTGAAATTCAGAATGGGTGTAGATGTGAGCGATGGAGAGGATATTGCCCTCACAGATTTAGATCAGAATAGAGGAGATGACAGAGATGAGGAAGCGGCCTTGATCAAACCGAGTCGACATCAATGCTAACTGTTTGATATGTGAGTCAGTTTTGATACACGAGAACAAATATGTACGTATCAGACCAGCATCCCTATTTTGTCTTCTCTCCTCTCTCATTAAATGCAAAGTTGGTAGGGAGTCTCTATGAATGCTTGGCTCCAACTGAGGGAGAGGTAAGAGGCTGCATCTCATGTGCTTACCTGCGCGCGCGTGTGTGTGCGTGCGTGTGCGTGTGCGTGTGCGTGTGTGTGTGTGTGGTTTCTACTCGTGCATGGTAACATACAAAGTTGTCATTTCAACATCCCACTGAGACCAATTGTTCCTGCTTTGGACCGACGCTTCCCTCTCCGAAAACGACATCATTGGTTTCACCTGCTCGCCTCGTGCTTTGTGCAGTGAAGAGCATCATTTTGTGCTTCATTCACCATTTCCCAAATCTTCGCTGTCGCTTAAGCCATTCAATGCCCATTTATTAGTCTTTATATAATGTAACCACAGCCTGCTTAGAGAAGATAAGAGCACCATATGCCTGATTCCACTCTCCACCTGCCTGCTTTACCCTGTTTTTATCACAAACTTGGCTCTGTTCAATTCTACTTTACCCTGCTGTGCACTGGCTCCCGTTTATCCTGTAGAGTTAATGGAAGCTTAAGTTGTGTAGAGCACAAAAGGAAGAACAATGTTGTGGTCAGTGGCTTCTTCTATGAGATTGCCAGGGATCCTTTGTTACCAAAGTGACACATTGTGAAGGAGTTTCATTGAAGTAACTTATATATATTTTTTTGCTGTTTTCTTTTCTCCGCCTATTCTTGGTGTTTCAGGACTCTGAGGGAGTGGAGATCATGTTGGGAGTTTGTTCAAGTGGCCTGCTCATCTACAGAGACAGGTTGCGAATCAACCGGTTCGCTTGGCCCAAAATCCTAAAGATCTCCTACAAGAGGAACAACTTTTACATCAAGATCCGGCCCGGCGAGGTGAGAACAAAAACAAGCATTGAAAATAACTTGTTACAGATATCATATGGATGACCAGAGCTGGAGGATAATCTGATCCACCTCTGATTCTGTGTTTGAGATAACCCTTTGTGCAACACAGGCAAACCACAATTGGCCTCTATTTCAGCAGCATTTCAGAGGTGCACCAAACCTCGAAATTGCTGCCCAACATAAACACACTTGACTGATGTTTTATAAAGGAAATACTGTGATGCTGCATATTTTATATAAACTGTATTGGCTTTGCTATGTGGGCGCTGCAGAGCTGTTTTAATGAAGGATATATGGGATTTGGATATGAAACAGGGAGATTTTGACATCTGTGGCAAAAATAACGGGACACTGGGTCATTATTTATATAAGCAGTTACTTTTCTGCAGATGTGAACCACTAGTATCATGTTAGCGTTTAACATAGAAACATGCATTAGTGTAGTATGTAGTGAATCTCACCACGGTGTTTTGTCCCTGTTGCAGTTTGAGCAGTTTGAAAGCACGATTGGTTTCAAGCTTCCAAATCATCGCGCTGCCAAAAGGCTGTGGAAGGTCTGTGTGGAGCACCACACCTTCTTCAGGTAAGAAACAGAGGAGCTTTGACTGTGGTAGCAAAGAGCTTTTGGAGCTGCTGCAGGTAGCTTATTAATAGAAAAACTACTCTCATATTTCCCTAACTGAGATGTCATTATGTTGTCCTGTTCTGGTATCAGGTACGTGGTCGCTGGCAGTAATTAATCATTCAAAAACATTTCCCTTAACGGCAAAAAGACGGTATTTTTTCCAGAGTTGGACTCTGAACACAAGCTACTTTGTTGTTTTTTTTTGCATCCTTTGTTGTTAATTTGTCACAGTCATGCCACTCCTGTAAACATACGTTGACTGATAATCATCTGGGATGATTTCTTTGTAGTGAAACAGAAGCAGTGCGCAGAGTGTTGGTAACTGTTGCCATTTGGACAACATGTGAAGTTGCTTTGTGCCGCTTTAAGCAAAAATGAGTCTCTTCGGTTCTTTTGAGTAGCGAGCCAAGCCCGAGGGCCCTCTGGAGACTATTCAAATGAGTAGGAGTTGTAATGTTTTTCAGTGTATAGCGTAATCTGTGTTATTTCCGTTTTGATTAATGTTAGTGTTTGTAACTCGTGACAGGCTCATATCCCCCGAGGCTCAACCCAAGAAGTTCCTGAGCCTCGGCTCCAAGTTCCGCTACAGCGGCAGAACGCAGGCCCAGACCCGCAGGGCCAGCTCCATGATCATCAGACCTGCTCCGCTCTTCGAGCGCTCCTCCAGCAAACGCTACAACATGTCGCTCAGCTTAGATGGAGGTGAGGAGCAGTTGAGGGTTTTGATGAATGGCCGAGTAAAGTGCCACCCAAGTGGAAATGTCATTTAAAGATGTTCATTTATCCAGTTCATTTTGATTACGGGCGTATTTAGAAGCTACTTTGTGTCACCTGCACACATTTTTCATTTTAGATGTTCCTTATTTTCGAGATGGATATAAATATAAATGTGCTTTGCACCTTAAAGCCTGTAAAGATAAGATGTCAGGGACACTTCTGCCGTGATGAAGCCACAATGTGCAGGAGAAAATCCAACGCTTTATTCCGCTGCTCACACTTCTCCCAGACATTAAAAAACAGACCGTAGGTGTCCATGAAACGTCACTGGTTCCAGTCCGTCACGTCCAGCTTTTGTCCTCCTGTCCTCCAGCACCAATGACGGAGAACCACGAGACTCTGATGAAGGACAGCGCCGATGATGGGGCGGCCAAAATCATCACCAAGGGAGACATCATCACCACGGTAACGACGGAGAAGAAGGCCGAGGAAGAGAAGGCGGAGCAGGAGGACGCTGGCATGGATGCTGCTGAGACGCAGGAACCGACCACCACAACACCGCTCAGACATGACGCGAAGGTAAACTGCTTTCGACCCGGTTCGGTTCAGTCAGAGCTGCGTTCATTTTGGACAAAGGAACTTTGGAGAGGCTTTAGTTGTCTTTGTATTTGGTTCAAAGTGAGTGATGATGAGTGAATGTATACACATATGCCATCAGCTTGTCAAAGAAACAGATGTTTCTTAGAAGCTGCTGCGTTTTTATCTTTTTATGTCCCTTTTTTTGAGATTTTAGTTTTGTTTTCTTTGTTAAAATACTTTTTAAAGGCTGATGAAAATGTCCCAGTTGCTTTCAGCTTAACCCACTGCAGCAGACAAGGCCTAAGTGCTTCTTCTCATCTTGTGTGCGCTTTACTAATTAGCTTTTCTTTTCTTGTCCTTCTTTTGACCCCACACTATACTCGTGTGTGTGTGTGTCTGCTCATGCGTATTCGCCCCTTTCCCCTTCGCACATCTCCATTTACACACTCTCTTCGTTGACATTTCCCTCCATCAGTGCTCCTCCCATGTGTACACAACCGACCCCCTCCGCTCTGAGCTCTCTCTCCCCTCATCTCCTGTTTCGTCACCTAAAGTGCGGCGGAGGCGCAGGGAGAACACGCGTAAGCGGGCCTCGTCGGTCAGTCCAGCCAAGAGCTCTGCTGGGTGCCGCCGCCGGCAAGCCCACGCCGACCGCAAGGCCGCCCTGCTGGACGAGCAGGTGCTGCTGCTCTCGGCCCGCAAGCAGAGGCTGGAGCAGGGCAAGAGCCGCGGCGGCACGCTCTTCTCCTTCTCCCTGCACCTGCCCGACCTGTCCTCCTTGCTGGATGAGGACGGCTACATCTCCTTTCCCGACATGTCAGAGATGCGCTTCCTCCCTATGTGCGCGCAGAACTTCCTGCCTATTAAGTCACCGTCACTCATCCCCTGCTTCCTCTTCATCTTCTTCTTCCTGCTCTCCACCTCCTTCTCCGTCCCTTACGCCCTCACCCTCTCTTTCCCCCTGGCGATGTGCCTCTGCTACCTGGAGCCCAAGGCAGCCTCCCTGACCGCTTCCATAGCCCAGGGCTACCATGACCATGACAGTTCAGAGGAAGAGGAGGTGTGTGTGCGAACGTCTGTGTGTTCCAGTACCCGCCTCTGGCTTAGAGTGGTAGTTCATTATCAACAGTTAACCCCCTATTGTCCTGTCCTGTATCTCGCTCTGCTGTTTCACCAGTTCAGAGCCGACCTGGAGACTGTGTCTGTCCCAGTGTCTGTCAGTTCTCCTACTTTCAGAACCTCATCTCTGCCCTGTCACACTCTCACCCTGTAGACTACATCCTCATCAGCATCACACAGAGATGAACATGCAAGTCCCGCCATTTTCATATTTGATTGGCTTGCATTTAATTTCACCTTAACGAGCAGGTTAGACACAAATATTGGGGACTTTTTACTTGCGTCAGCCTGAATTTTGTCTTCTTCTTGAGACATTAACATCACTAACAAATCACCAAAAAATAACTCATGCAGTTGCACAGTGTGAAACAGTTCATTGTGGAAATATTTCAATATTTGACTGTGCCTGTTGATTATTGATAATGATGATTTGAAGAACTCCCCTATCTTCATTTAGTCACTAATTCAAATATCACGAAATATCATATTCTAAAGCATAGCCTTGTGCCTAACCCATCTCAGTGTTCTCATCCACATTCATGGTATCACAGTGTAGAAAGTGACCGCTACAAAATCAACAACTGCTGCACGGAAACACGACGCACTCAGTCTCTCTGCATTGCTATCTGAGTCAAGCAAAGCAGCACTAAGAATGATTGATCTAAATTTGAACGGCTGAAAAGGGCTAAAAGCAGAGTGCGAAGATGTCCCCCCCCAGTAACACCCTTTTGAATATATATATATATATATCAGGATTCAGGCATGCCCCAAATCCAGAGCATATTTGATGTTACACCTAAATGTCAAAGTGACTGACCGAAGGTTTCAACTTCCTCTGAGTCTGTTTTGCTTGCTTACTTTTTCATTTGCTTTTTTACTTCTGTTGTTCTTTTCCCAACCCTATCTGCAGTGTTGTCTGATAATGTGTAGCTTACAGAAACAACCAGTGCATTTCCATTTGTTCCATTTGTGGTTTTGAAGAATCTCTGACGATGAATGCATTTTCCAGGGGTTTTAATAGTTGGGTTCTTGTTGTTTTCTTGCTTGCCACTCGGAACGTTTTTTGTCTGTTTGCGAAAGCAGACCGACAGCGAACAAACTGACTTTGCCTTTGATGGAGAGATGACCGCCACAGAGGTTTGTACATCAAGGAAAGACGTCATATTGAAGGCATGAAAAAGGGAAATAAAGTAATGCTGAATCATAGAAAGAATTTGTAGAATTTGTGTACAAGGTCCGCATGCAACGCATGCGTTCCATCTTGTTATGCCCATTTAGTTCTTCTTTTTCCTTCTATTTTAATGTATTGTCGACACACTTTCTCTGTATATCATTATGTCTTTTCCACTGACTACCTTACAATAGAGGGCAAACGCCATGACGGCCCTTTCACTTTGGCTCTCTATAGCTTAACCTCGCCCCCTACACAGTTCAAGCTTCAATTTTCTTGTGAGAATCTCATTAAAGCGGTCTTCGGAATATGCAGTTAATAATAGTGAAGTCATTCTAAAAGACTGAGCCTGAAGCTGCATGTCCCAGGAAAACAATCGGCAACAACTCGACTGCAGGTAGTAAGCTAATTAGCTGCACATGCTAGCGGTTGCAGCATATGCTACAGCAAAGAAACACGTTGTTTAATCCATTCCTTACACTTCTGTGCACACCACTTCCACCTGTAGAGAACATTGAAGCTTGACAGGCCCGCCATGCCGAGTTATGGTTGCTGAGGCTGTGATTGGACAAATGCTGTTTGGGGGAGGGGTTTAGCGAAAGCTCAATTTCTGTCACAATATTCTTTACTTTTTTTAAATTCAACCACCATCTTTACCCTCTCGTATCTCTGCGCTTGCCGCTCCGTTTAGCTCACTTTCTCTTTCCCTTCACCTGATTCACCCCGGTGCGTTTCTTCTTGTCTTAATGAGCCCTTTCCTCCTTGTCTCACACTCTCTGTCCTCCCCTCTTTACTTGCTGTCAGTCGGACGCAGACGACGACTCTGAGATGCGGACTCAGGTACACTGGGCTCGCTTCATGGCCCCGCTCAGTGCATCACACCACCGCCGCCAGATGCACTGAGCCGCTTTGTCTCTTTGTGCCGTCTCTCCACCTTGGCTTGCCTGCCGCCGCTTCTGTTTATATGCTCACTATCAGACCACACAGCAGACTGACCATTCACTTCACAGACTGCTGCTGCAAAGCTGTCGCTGCTTCTAAACACATCATTCCAGCTCATTTTCAAGTGCTATTGTTTGTAAATGGTGGAGTCCTGTTTCCTTTCCTGTTGCTGCAACCAAGAGTCTGATTTCACAGTTTTGAAGGTTTTTTTCTTTCTAATCCATGGCTTTTACAGTGAGTTGACTTATGCCATCAGGTTATCATTTACAGCTATATAGCAGAAGACAAAGCTCCCAATATCTCCTAACAAGAGTCTAAATTAAACATGGCACCTTTAACTACAATACATCTCCCCTCTTTTGTCTTTACAGTATAGTTTCATAAGACGAGTAAAAGGGGAAAACGTTTTTATCAGGCACAGTAATCTGATGCTAGAGGTTGGTAAGAAAACAATGCATTGAATGATTGAAATATGCATGCAGGTGCTTTTTGTATGAAGAATCCTAACTGATAACAAATACGTCTAGCGTACCAGTAACTCTGCCAGTGTTACATTGTGTTTTCTGGAGTTCGAGTGTGAAATACAGCATTTTTATCTACCCGAGTTCTTGCTGTGAGCATCCAACTACATTTTTGTGAGAGATAAAGAAACTTATTAGTCAGTTTTTGTGGCGGTGTTAACTTCTAATGAGATTTGGGAGTGTTGTGCTTAACTAAACCTGTAAAACTAAATCTGTGAATCTATGCATGAATATTTATATTCCTTGAATTATGTCCTAAATGCTCCTTTTAGCATTTAAGAACAAGCTGCTACTCTCTTAGTTACAGCTGCCATGTGAGTGGACATTTTGCCATTGTGTTGCTGTTTGTGCGAGCTGTTGCACAGGTAGCCTGCAGTGAACACAATGAAGCTTACAATGCAGTTAATTTAAGTCTGCGTTGGTTGATTCCAGATTTTTTTCAGAACTGCATTTAAGGCGTTTATGTTTTTTTGGTAATTCATTGGATTTGCAAGCTACCGTTGCGTTCATAAAGCATGGCCGTAGTTCCCTCCGCGCTGCTCCTGGCCTCACCTCCTTGTATCACATGGTTGACCGGCTACTGTAGGACACCTCGCCTCCAGAAGAGATGGTCAAACACCAGACCAACATCAGCGAGCTGAAGCGCTCCTTCCTGGAGACGGGCGAGAGCACGCCAGGCCTGACGGAATGGGAGAAGAGGCTCTCGTCGTCCCCTGCGCGCTCACCCAGAGCGGACGAAGCGCCAATGATAGAGCCGCTGGAGCTGCAGGATGTAAGCTGCAGTCCTCAGCAGACTGAATGATGTGTGTGTGCAGCATGACATCACCAGGGAGATAAACAAAGACGTCAATCTGAAGAGTGTTTGCGTAATACGTCATAGTGCAGTCATTTCAATAATCATAAATGGTCTGTTGCAGCACATTTATATAACTAGCTCTAGTGCATATTCATATTATATTCTTTGCCACTATCACCTTATGTCTCTGCTATATCTAAACAGCAGCTGATAATAAACATGTTAGTTTGTCTATGTAATAGATGGTGCCGTCATTAATCCCTAATACGATTGTTGTGCTCAGTGACATTACTTGCTGGAGTTAGCAGCAGTTTTATCCTTTTTCTTGTGCTGCGTTACATAATCTGATGGACTCACGCAGGACACATGAGCGGCTCTAATTACAGTCTCTGAGGACTAATCGCTGACTAATCAATATGACTGACTGAAATGAAAAGAAGCAGATTCACTGGAACCGCTTTGGGATCTGGATCATGTCCTTTCTTGTTTGTCTCAAGCTGTGACCTTTTGTATTTATTTGTTTGTTTGTTTCCTTCTTTAGGCTAAAGACGAGCAGCCGGCAGGAGAAGAGACAAAAGAGGAGGTAGAACCTAAAGCCACTGAGGTAAGTTGCTTCCTCTTTGTTTCTCACCTGTATTTTGTAAGTGTGGTGTTGTGTTGTGCCCTTTGTTTCCATGTAGCTCCAGACGAATCTGGACACCGGCACAGTTGTACTCATACGACTTCACATGTACAGTTTCTCCACTTTATTTCCCTTATCTGCCCTTTTTCTATCACTCTGAAATTTTAATTGAAGCTTGAAAGGCACTAACATAACTTGTGAATATGAATTAAGCCTTTTAAAAATTGATATCCAATAAGAATCAAATCAAATGTAACTTTATTATCCAAAAGAGGAAATTCATTTGGTCAGAGGGGTGACAACAATACAAAAAGTAATATTACAGAAAACAGATAAAACAATAAGGACAGTGTGTCCCACATAAAATAAAGATAATACTACCATATATGTGCAGAGAAACTAGGTTCAAAACTAGATCTAAACAGTGCATTTTTGTCCAAGTCTTTATGGAGCTCGGTCTTTCTGTGTCCTCTCTATATCAATAGTCTCCTGAGCTTATTGTCCTAGTCTTGGCTTTGTGATGCCCTTTGTCTATTAACCTGAACGATCCATTCCAATAAGCCAAGTGTCTCCTCCAGGCGGCAGGATATCTGGTGAAATATGTGGTGGATAGTATCGCAACAGATTTGGTCTCCTCCTCTGGGCCACACGGGATTAGTCTGTCAACCACTATGGACGACGACGTCTTCGTGGACGGGACCCTCAGGGAGGTGGACGAGGTGTCGGAGAGGGCCGAGATGAAGGTCAGCCCCGGAGCCGTCAGACAGGAAGTGGTCCAGGCCATCAGTGACAAGAAAGGGACGCTCATTATCTTGAAGGAGGCTGACGATAAAGCAGACACAGAGGGCAAAGAGACGAGTGCTGCAGTTGACGAAGAGGAGCCTGTTGTCCCTGGAGAGGCCGAGGCTGAGGAGAACGAAACGCTGTCTGCCTCTAAAGAGAAAGAATCTATCAAAGAAGACACTTCTGATGTTATAGAAGCCAAAACCACTGTGGTCAAGATGCAGAGTCCGAAGATAGAGATAAAAACTGATGACATGACTCAGACTAAAGGTACTGACTCGCCTAAAAAGGCCATGGCATCCTGGATATCTGAGGCCGTGAAGACCGAGGCTTCCGAGGTCATCAGTGTGTCGACAAAGGAAGTAAAAGAGACAAAAACGTCTGACGCCCTGCAGCAGAAAGAAGAGTTCTTCACCTTAGAAGAGATCCAAACAGAGCCGTCAAAGTCCAGCGTGTCTCAGATTACAGTTTCTGAATCCTCTACTACGTCCTTAGCAGTGGTACTGTATGAAAACTAAAAGCAACAGCTCTGTTTTGGCTTCCTCCCTCCATATCTCCACCACCACCCTCAGCCTACCCCATCGCCTTTTCTTCAGCAGCAGCCAAACCAGTCTAACAGTGTAACCAAACGCTCTGCATGGCTAATTGTCCTTTAACACCCAGCGTTTACTCTCACATTTCCCAAACTGCCGGTTTCTGTTGCTTCTCTTTTGATACAACGGTTTGTTTTTGAGTTTGTTGACGGCTGAAACGGCTCGCCTTGCCTTAGCAGCTGGCTCCCACGGCTGATAAGGAAAGAAATGTCTGGCTCCTGTTTGTTTTCTACCGTTTCGCTCCGCTGCACCATTCCTTTCTTTCAGCTCTGTTATCAGTTCCCTGAAAGCAGTGACTTAATAACCCTGGCTCGGTGCCACAGCTGCAGCTTTTCCCACTTCATCCTCCCAAAATCCCCTTCTGCCTTCGGAACTCGTCAGGAAAACAAATTGTATGGGTCTACCTGAAAAGAGATTTCACTGTTCTTAAGTAACCGAAAAGCAGATTAGTTGAAGTTTGCTGCTGGTGGATCCAGCGATCTGACTTTCATTTGAGGTTTTGGGGTTTGCTACACAATGGTATTCCATACAATATTTACTTTTCTGTTTCCTTTTTGATTTTTCCACCCTCTCTCCCTTCACGCTTTGTCTGGTGTTCACTGTGACTTTTTGACTTTCCTCTCTTTTCCCTTCTCTCTGTTCTCGTGTCCATCCGTCCTTCTGTCCCATCAGTCTACGCTGGGATGGGTTTCCTCCTCTGAAAAGGTGACCCCCCCCCTCCTCTCTGGTCCTCACAGATTTACAAATGCAACACTGCAATGGTTTTGGCGTGACTGAAACCTTTAAAATGTCTTTTTAAATATCCGTGCCTATTGTACAGTACGTGATTCCACAGTGAACATATAACCGACACAACAATGTTCCTTTGTCAGGTGTGATGTGAAGCCTCCTTGTACTGAGGGGATTTGTATTTTCGTAATAGCGAAACGGAAACGTTCCTCTAACGGCACATTCATCATTCACAGGGATCCGCTGAACCGGAGGAGAAGATGGTGGTTGCCACGGAGACAGAGGCAGCACCGGCCGAGTCGACAGGGCCAACGGTGAATATCCCGTCCACAGAGGCCGAGCCGGCGCACGCCACAGCGGAGCTCACAGTCGCGTTAATGTCAGCAGAGGGGGAGCGAGATAATGTAGACGTGTCGCGTGAAGATATTAGTGGCGTCGGTTCAGCAGATCCAGCAGCTGTATCCGGTGTTCCAGGCACTGCACCGTATTCAGAGCCACCTCAACCGTGTGCATCTGTGGAGCTTGCAGCAGAAGTACAGCCGGTAGCAACGCGTTTAGAGTCAGATGAGAGCCCGTCTGCAGCGCTGACCTCGGCAGCAGAAGAGATAAATGAGGGAGTAATAGATGAGGAGGGAGAGGTTGCTGGCATTGAGGGGGAGGCGTTTATGTCAAAATGTGAAAATGATAGTTTCAGATTCACTGTTGCTCCTGCATACATCAGATATTGTGAAAAGGACGAGGAACACGATGAAGAGGAATCGGCAGAGAGTTGTTTGGAGGCTTTGGAGGAGGAATTGTTAGATTTAAACAACACAGGGGAGAGAAAGCACACAGAGGTAGATGGTAAGAGAGTCCAGTTCTCCAATCACGTGCAGTATTTCGAGAAACAAGCATTTCCCTCTGAGTTAGAAAATAGGATACAGGTGGTGGACAAATGTTCACCAGCAGAGGATGAGAGTCAACAGAGCTTTCCAGACATCTTGAAGCCTTTGCCCTTTGAGAAAGAGAAATACCACCACGCACAGATGGACAGCTCAGAAGATGAATTGGAGACAACAGAGGACGAAGAGGCAGATGGAAAGAAGGAAGAGCTGGAGGAGGAGCCCAATGAGGGAGAGCTGAATTTGAAACTGGCACACGCCTGTGTCGACGAAAAGGTTTCAGAAAATATGGTATCGGTGGAAGTGAAGAAAGAAGAAATAGTCCGAGCTGAAGAAAAAGAGGAACGAGACCAGAAGTCCTGCCCACGCGAAGTGACTCTGACTGAACCCTTTACCTCTGACGGCTGTCTCAGCCATCCACCTCCAGCCGTGTCTCAGTCGGAGGTAACCCTGCATCAGCTGCGGTGGCTTCAGCCTCGGCCCTGCAACCTCACCGCCACCCTCCCCTCCTGCCAGCACAATCTGCCACTAATAATCAAGGGCCAAACCTCGAGCGAAAGCATGGACATGCGTCTAACTTCACAGTTTGTTTGCGGAGCAGATCAGGGGACCTTTCTTTAATATGATGTGGCGCACACACTTGATTGAAACCTTGTGATTTGCATTCTCCAGCATCCCCGTCTTCACCGGATCAGGGACTCTAATGCATGACTGCATGCTCGTTTAGAGATTCAAGCTCTTCAATGGCGGCCTTTGGCTTAGTTTATTAGCATGCGGCATTTATTTGTGTTAATTTGATTTTGTGCACAACAGGGTAGAGCTATTCTAAGAACAAAGTTAACAGTGAGCACTTACAGAGATCTGTTTTAGACATGCCAGTTAATTGAATTGGAGCTCAGATGGGTTTTGGCGCTGCTGTACTCCCTCTGCATGCATTTATTTGTGCCCATTTTGTCCATCAGGGCCTTAACGTCGTCGAGGTGGGAACCAAAGAGGTGCCTGTCGTCCACACGGAGACAAAAACTACCACCTATGAGTCTGCAGAGGTACAAACGATGACGTTGCCTCCATTTTACATCCTGCACCATTTTGAAAAACATGACCGATTGTTGGGATTAAAGAATAGTTCTGTAGTTGGCTTTTAAAAAAAGGAATCTGCCCTAAAAAGCAAAGCTGGGATCAGCAATAATTTATTTTAAACACACACAGCAGATTCAGAGCTTTATTATCCTTCATTTAGAGTTGTGTTTGTGTCCACCTAATGAATGGAAGTTATAGAATGAAATATGAACTCTCTGTTTGGCTCTCTGCTACCTCCTGGAGGAATTATCTGGCTAAATGCTCCCCCGTGTTCAACAGTTAGTTTCTTCTGCGGCTGGAAGTGTCATGTGGGATTTTAGAGCTTTTTTTTTTTTCTGTAAACTCCTGCAGCCGTAAACAACACTAATGAGAGCGGCGAGAGTGAAAGATTATAACTACTTGATAACACTAATACTTGTTGTGTTACAGCACACGTTAGTGACTAGCAGGTGAACACGGTGCAGCTTTTAACTATTATTCAAAGAAAACGGTGAATATTGAGCTAGAAATACCGCGCTGTCTATTTCCTCTGTCCACAAGTGGCCAAAAAAATCAGTTAACGCAGCTTTACCACAAGTTACTGTTGAATAATATTAGCTAGGAACCCATTAAACGTGGTGTAGCGGGTAGTTTGACTTTATGTGGAGAACAAATACAACATGTCGTTTCCTAATGGAGTGTTTTGCTCGTCAACAGGTTGACTCTAACGGCGACATAGACCCCGGGGTGTTGCTGAGTGCTCAGACAATCACCTCGGAAACCTCCAGCACCACGACAACCACACACATCACAAAGGTCAGGGATCATCTATTGTCCCTTTTCCATCTCGTAACGCTTGAAGCTTCAAGCACGACTGCAGCCGATGCAGCTCGGCTTCAGCCTTTCTTTACTGCAGAACTTTAAAACCGTGTGCGTGTCTCAGAGCACCATAGGTCTGTGTTTCTCCATGCCGGAGTCATTACGAGCTCTTAAGTTCATGAAAAGTCTGAATTTTATTTTTACGTTTACACTCGCACAACCTTCTTGTCGTCTGGCCCAAGGATTTAGACTGATACAATAAGTATATAGCATGATAAAAACCTAAAGTTTTAAGCTTCAGGATGTTTGTTGCCGTATGCTTTTGTGTGCGCATTGACTCTTAAGTCGTCTCCCTGCTCTCCGTTGGTCAGACGGTGAAAGGAGGAATATCAGAGACAAGGATTGAGAAAAGGATCGTCATCACGGGAGACACAGACATCGACCACGATCAGGTCTCTCAGAGTTTACATACCGCTTCTCATTCATTCTCCTCTGTCCACCTTATTTTTCTTTGCTTGTTAAGTCAATAAATGGATTTGAGCGATGACCATGAACAAGTAAAATGCTAGTGTGACCCCTCAGGACCTTATCTTGTACTTTGCGAGCATAGTACAGCCAGATATAGACGGGCTTAGCATGTGATATTTTGCACAAGACATTAACTCGTGATGTGACTTTAACAAATCCTGGAAGTATGACAAATGTGACTAAACGTGGCTTCCCTTTGTTGGCTCATATTGACTCACAATGAAACATCCCTGCTCCCTCCCTGCCTTCCCCATTTTCTGTCTCCCCCTGGTGATCCCTTCTGGGGCTGCACTCCCGTATATAGGCTCTGGCTCAGGCCATAAAGGAGGCTAAAGAACAGCATCCTGACATGTCAGTGACCAAAGTAGTGGTTCATAAAGAGACAGAGATCACGCCAGAGGAGGGGGAGGACTGACCCAGGTAAGACAACAAGGTCCCAGTCCTGGTCCCGGCCCTGTCCGTTTTTAGTCTGGTCTAGTTTTTGATGTGGTCGGACTGGGTTTTTTGTTTTTTTCAAGCTGGTCTCCATTCTCGGGCATGCTGCTTTTCCCATCAGCACTTCTTCTCACTGGTACAGACAGCCCTGCTTCTGTAGCACTTACAGCTATTGCATCATGCTGTCATTCCAGCTCCACTCCCCCTGCAGGGAAAAGGTTGGCTGATGCGTGTGTGTGCGCACACACAGACACACACACACACACACACACCGGATATTATAATCTCAACTTGTAATGACAAGGCTTAAAAAGCCTTTTTACAGCAACGCTGCTGTCTCATGCGAGCTCTTGTAGTTTGACTGCAACACTCCCCCCTGCTGGAAAGAAACACAATTCCATTTGTGTTAGAGAGCTTGTGTACTAAACATGTACCACAGACCTGCCCCTCTTCTTTATAAAGACATGTGGGTTGTCATTTAAAAGAAAATACAACCACAACTTTGAAAATGTGGAAAACCAGAGACAATTTTAGCTTTTTTTGATTTGAAAAACAAGTACGGTTGAAAGAGTTGTGACCTGCATGTCGTGCAGTACTCTGTAAAAACATCGAGTATACATCGTTATGTCTACATTGTGCAGCCTCACAAAGGGCAGCAGCAGTGATGAGCGATTAAATACCGGCCCAACCGGCTTCTGCTTCTCAGAGCGCTCAGTCTGTGTCTGCAAAGAACCCGCGTTGACTGAAATCTGATCTCGGGTGAAGACAGATCTGCTTTAGTCTATTTTCAGCGAGAAAAATCATAAACTTTAACTGGGAAGCTTTGTAAATGACCACTTACAAATATTATGAGTAAAAATCTGTTGTATTTGCAGAAAATAAACCGTGAATCGATGCTAATTTGTATTAAAACACATAGTTTTGCACCTCACTGCAGTCTTTATAGGGAGCAGTGTTTATCAGTGAATCCTGACACTGCCTAACTGTCTCTCGGAAACTTGTTTGAAACAATTTGTGACATCCTGCTCCTTTTAGTTGCACTCTTCCTTTCTGTGTGTGTGGTGGGGGGTATAAATAGGTCAGCAGTCCTTTTGGCAGTGTGTCTGCAGCCTTCACAAATGCAGCCGTTTGTGTTTCAACTTGCTCGCTGGCAGTATTGTGAGGATTACTTCAGGTGTGGAGCTGTGTGAGGGAACCTCTCATTCCATTGCACCCAGAGCATGTCATCGTTACAACCTCGCCACCTTCTCTATCAAACATTTTTAAATCTGGAATTGCCCAGTTTTATTCTAATTCACCTTTTTCAGCTCTGCAGCTCGTTATTTCACCAGCTTTTAACTGAAGCGATCCCAAGGCGCAGGGTTTGGGATGACGAGCGTGCATGTGTGTACTCGCGTGACTCACCAGATGGGAATGCTTGGCTTTGTTTCTGCGGCCTTGCCCTCAGTCCTTTGTGTGTGTGTGTGTGTGTGTGTGTGTGTGTGTGTGTGTGTGTGTGTCAGAACTGCTGTGTTTCTGAGTAGCACTATTAACATGATACTAAATGTTTCTTTTCTCTGGTTGTTTGGATGCTTGCCCTCTTTCCACTGTAGATACACACAGAGTGTTTGGGCCAAACAGTATCAGGAAAATGTGTAGTAGCAATGTCAGAAATGAAAAGCAACAGTTGCAATCAAACAAGGTCTTACCTGTTCAAACACACACACACACACACACACAGCGAGGACCTCCAGTTCAAGTCACTTTATTCACCATCATGCCGTCATCAGGCTCATGGTTTCCTTTAACTGTACACAATAAATTTAGCCCATTAATGAGTAATATCAGGCAACAAATGTACAATTTCTGCCTCATTTTTCAGTAGATTCTAATCCTTTTAATCACGAATCATTTATGAATAACCCTAACTAATCTCAAAGTCGGTCTGCTTTTGAATTTAACACATTAACTCAATTTCTAATTGCTCTAAATGCCCTCCTCTGTGATGAGGTTCTGGTAGCAGATTTGTTTTTTTAAGCACGACCTACTGAAGGAGAGTTGTGTGACATATGATATTTGAATGGCCTTAAATCTAAATCAGATTGATAGAGATAAGAGAATGATGGGTCTCTGTGTTTGCCTCTCAGTGGTGACACCAGCCTTTGGGACTCGCTGCTTGTGGTCACACTTAAAACGAGTCGGGAAATAGTTGAGTATTGTACCCAAGAAGCCTGTGTGTATCTATGTTGTGTGTGTGCTTTTTAGTAACTCTGTAGTCCCTCGGTGCATCTATTTACGGTATCAAAACCACCATCATCTTTTTATCAGGCCCACTTGCAGGGTGCACTGTGGGTGCTGAAGGTTCACGTGTGTGTGTGTGTGTGTGTGTGTGTGATTGAATAAGCAGGATGTACTAATCTCTGTTTCCTCTGTTCTTCCAGGAGTAAAAACACCCGAGGGCTGTTTTCTGTTTCGACTTCCTACATCCAGAACTCCACATATTACTCCGGGACTCTCAGAAGACTAGAAAGGCTCCTACTCTCCTAATGCTGCAGCCCCGCCAGCTAGTCGCAAACCCCTCACCTTGCAAATTAAATAAATGCATCTCGCATGAGAACGACGCAATGTTGCATTATCATACAAAATGGCAAGATTATACCGAAACACGTACGATTCTTAAAAGTGGTTCTCGATTCAACCTGCACGCCGAATCTTGTGTGTGTGTGTGTGTGTGTGTGTGTGTGTGCAGCAAGCAAACGGTTTGCTTACACTGCCTTATGACTCTGATGCATTTTTATGATTCTTGAGAATAATTACTGTAGCAATGTTTTATTTATGAAATAAAGCCATCACTCCAGAAACTTAAAATCGCTGTAGGCTGTATGTGTTAGGGAGCATACGCTATTTAACCTTCCTGTAGAAGTGCCAACCTCATTTGCCAGCAAGCATTGCCTCACTTACTCCAAACAAGCCGATGATTTTTTTCCGTCTGGTGTGCCACTACAGCAGAAATCACTACAGCCCAGTTCTGTACATATCAACGCTTTCCGAGGAGAATAGCAAATGTATCTTTCCCGGTTGATTTTATTCACGTCTACTTGAATTGCATTTTTCCTTTTTTATGATCATTTCAGTATTTTTATCGTTTTTTCCTCGTCGATTTTGATTCCACCAACACGCTCTGTTCTGCCAAGGAGTCAAGTTTTCTGTGCAAGAAATAGATTTTAATGTGCCTGTGCAGGCTTTTGAATGTTCTCCAGGGTAGATGATCAGCTGCAGCAGCGCCACAAGTCCCAGGTTTGTGTGACTGTGAGGCAAAGGGCTCAGACTGCCGAGCTCTGCTCAAATTAGATGCAAAGCCAAGAGAGATCTGTCCACCTCCCCCCCACCCCCACCCCCACCCTGAACATGTCAACTATATGCCTCCCTCATGTGTTCAACTCTATCTGAATAACCGAGTCTTGTTCGTGTACAGCCATGTTTTCCTCAAAAAGGTGAAATAAAAGTGGCAAATGCATTTGTTTTAATCTGCTGGTTTTTTTTTCCTCAAATAACATGTTGACCACAGCACTGACGCATGTCGCCATTGGACCCATTGATTGAGTATTGATGTCTTAACGTCGAGATATTGAGTCCGTGTTAAACACAGTGATGATTCAGTTACTGGTTGAGACCATTAGATGAGGCACTAGTTATTTGATGGGTTCATATCACAATAACCTACAGATGATTCCTCAAGCTATAGTATGTGACACTGAACCCTTAAATATATTCAATTGTAATCTTAGATTTTCTCTAAATATGGATTTTTGTTATTTTCATATGTTCAATCTTTACTTTTAAAAACCCATAAAAATGAACTAGAATATATGGAACAACCTGAGCTAAAGGAGCCAAAACAGATTTCATATCCTCAGGCACTGAAATATCCTGATGGGCAACATGTGATTTTTTTTTTTTTTTTTTTTTTAATATTCAAGCTTAAACAATAATAAATAAATATATATATAGATGAGAGGTGGTTGGATTTGTAAATTGTAGTCGATCTATTATTCATTAAACCAAAGGCTCGAAACACTTAAAGATCGCCCTCGGGGTAATTAAGACAGATTTTTTTTTTTTTTTTTTTTCTTCTTTTTTGTTTTTATAAATACAGCCAAAGGTAATTATGATGAACGCACGCAGGCTTTCAAAGCTCCGCCCGCTGTGAACGTGCGTGTGTGCCAAAGAGAAACAAAAGAGACGAGGTCTCACTCCGTTTCTGTTGCTGGGTGCGATGAGATCAACGCAAGGAGGGAGGACAAGTTGATCTTTATAAATCCTTATTCCACAAACGATCTCGTGCTGACAAATGAGAGGAGATCAAATGTCTGCCTCAGCTATGGTGTTCATTTTCTAGTCTTTAAATGTTAAGAGATAAAGCACATTTATTTTCTTTAACAAGTGTTGAGGGAACACAACATAGTCTGCCAAACATTGTACAGTTTGGGGTTATTTCCCTGTGTGTACTTCTGTCTATGCTCTTCTTACTGGCGTGCAGCCAGTGATGAAAATACAGGATCAGGATAACTGAAACGTGTTTGTGTTGCCGGACCATTGTCAATCAAATGTGATCAAAGTATACCCACATAGTCCGGATGAAACCGGTTAGCTGAGACATGACGAGGTTATCATTTTTAATCAGAATCAAGATCGGCTTCATTTGCCAAGTATGTGTACTGTACACACATGCGAGCATTTTTTTAAATGTACATACACAAAAGAGATATAAATAAACATACAGCTAAAATTAAAAGGACAAGAAAGCTGTACAATATAGGTAAACACACACATTTAACTATAATGTACAACAACACACGATGTCTACAAGTCAAACTGTTTCTGTAAAAAAAGACATAATAGTGCAATGCTGTAGAGTGCAATGGAACTAATATAAGTTTAATGTAAGATGTACTTTATATACACAAAGTAGGTTATGTTGTGTAAGTGATCCATGTAGCTAAGCTAAAACAAATGTATTCAAAGGGAAATTCTTGTATTTGCAATACAAAGTATAGAAGCATGAACTACAATATAAAAAGAATATCTATAATGTGCAAACCAAATGCACACAATCCCAAAAATGTAAACGGGTCAAACGGTAAGGATTATACATGAGAAGTGGCAAATAACTCTGTATTTACAATATCAACTCTTAGTACAGGTAAGTGTTCATGGTTAACTCCAAAATGATTATGTTTATTATTCAGCACTTAATGTCCCATTTTGGCACATTGTCAGAAATCTGAAACAGGTTTATTGCCAAGTTTCAACATATATTTGGTGTTGCTTTGGTGCATAACAACAAACATAGTAAGCTGCATGGTGGGGCACTAGCACGCCGGAAGGCTGCATGTAGGGCAGCTTATATGGTACCGCATCCTGTCTTCTCTATTTAAGAGCACTCATTAGGACACACACCTCGTTTTCTCCACTAGAGGGGCATTATAGAGGGCACTTCACCATGTTTTCTCTTCTGGAATAGCACCTTAGAGAGCACTTTGTCTTGTTTTATCCACCATAGGAGCATCCAAGAGGGCACTTTTGCGGCTTTTTCTTTCCAACATCCCACCAGCAGTCAATGATAATAAAAAAAAAAAAAACATATATGCAATATTTCTGTTTTAAAAATGAAGAGCAGTTTTGTGTAGGAGTAAATCAGTTTCTCCATTTAAAATATCTTTATTTTATAGAGTGCCACGGACAAATGTTAGTCCTCCTCGCGGACATAGACGATCTCTGTGGAGTACCCGCTCCGGTGCTGTAGGTGGCGGCAAAACAACGCGGCGCTTCCTGTGAAGCCCAATAGTCACAACAAGAGGAGGAAGAGGAAAAACGACAGCTCTGGATCGTCGTCGACAGCCTTGCGTGACAACACAAGGATCGCGTTCAGGGCTTCGGGTATTAACATTTCTTACTTTGTCTTTGGTCGCCTCGGACGGAGCAGGAAGCCACGCGGCGTGTTACGCTCCGCCGTTAGTTCGCCTGTCCGCCGCCGCGTCCTCCGCCTGTTTGTGAACTGCTTTAAAGGCACCAGAAACATGCCAATGGAGGCTTGCTGACCAAAATGGCTGGGCGCAGTGAAATGTGAAATATTCTTTGCTAAGGTTATCCTTTCTGCACGCCACGCGACTGTCACGCGAACTCGGCGGCTTTAACGCGTGGCTTAAGTTAAGAAAAGTCCATCTGCTTGTGTCTGTTTGCGTTTATATATTTTTTACAGGCGTTACCGCGGCTTTTACTGCTGTCGGGCCTCTCGTGTGTGTTTTTTTTTTTTTCATAAGAATTTCTGCACGATTGATTTTGCTACTTTTTGTTTACTCTCTTGCATTTTTAACGGCCGTCTTTCAACAAAAGCGATGTAACGTTAGTTTTGCAAGTTGCTGCTATAATAGTGTGCGAGTTGTTTGCTCCTGAAGGCAAAACCTATATGTATTCACATGAGAAGCGTGCAAGTGGAGCTCCACCCCTCTGCTGTGTGCAGGTTATGTGCATGCCCGACTGACTGTGCAAAGCAAAAATATTTGACTGTTTACTGTTTTTTTTCCTCCTCTGCAGGTTGCTCCAATTTGACCAGCAACATGTCTGATTTACTGAGATATATCGACTATGACCACAAAGCCACCTTTCTGAAGATGCTCAACCAGCAGAGGATGGAAGGTGAGCACTGTGATGTGGTGGTGGTGGTGGAAAACATAGAGTTCAGGGCTCACCGCTGTGTCTTGGCCGCCTGTAGCAACTACTTCAAAAAGCTCTTCAAGAAACAGAGCGAGGAGGACAACTCCATCGTGGAGCTGGACTTCATCCGCTCCGACATCTTCGAGGAGGTGCTCAATTACATGTACACGGCCCGGCTCGCCGTCAGGAAGAAGGACATCAACATGATGATGTCGTCCGGCCAGATCCTGGGCATCAACTTCCTGGATAACCTGTGCACCCAGAAGCGGGAGCTGACCAACATGAAGACCCGGGAGAACCAGGCTCCCGGGGACCACGGGATGCGAGCTCAGGACGCCATCCTGAAGGAGCTGGCCATGGAGGAGGTGAGGAAGAACAGCTTCTATGATCAGGGGATGGAGGGCATGGGGCCCGGGGGCTCTCACGTGTCTCAGCCGCACAACTACAACACCAACATGAGCAAAGATCCTCACAGCCACGGCTGGGGCTCCTCCTCCTCCAGCGACATGAAGCTGGAGTACCTGCTGTACGGCCACCGCGACCACGGCTCTTGTCAGAGCACCGGCGCCAAGCCCCAGGATCACAATGCCAAAAAGGAGCGCCTGCTCACCGCCAACCGGCCCTACGCCTGCGAGCACTGCCCCAAAGCCTTCACCACCGCCGCCCACCTCAAGGAGCACCTAAAGATCCACTCCGGCTTCAAGCCCCACCGCTGCGTGGTGTGCGGCAAGGCCTTCATCAGGGGCCCCGACCTGAAGAGGCACGAGAGGGTCCACAGCAACGAGAGGCCCTTTGCGTGCCAACTGTGCGAAAAGGCCTTCAAGCACAAGTCCCACCTGAAGGACCACGAGCGGCAGCACCGGGGCGAGCGGCCGTTCAACTGCGGCTCCTGCGAAAAGGCCTTCATCAAAGCGTCGGATCTGAAGCGCCACTGGAACACCATGCACAGCGGCAACCCCCGCAGACAGATGTCCCTGTCCCCCGCTGCCTCCCAGGCAGAGGCCACCGACCAGAGAGACTGGAAAATGGAGACCGGGCCACATTCGCATAACTCTGGGGACTGTTGAGCCTGCAAAACACACCAAAACACCCGCATACTGACACACAGGCGCGCATACATCCACGACAGTCACTTAAAAAACATGCACACACACTGACACAACCACAAACCCTGTGACAGGCCGAGGGCCTGACATCACACGGACAATGATCGGAGTGAGTAACAAGAGACCATAGCATGTTCATGAGACTGTGGGGGCTGTATTATTATTATTATTATTATTATTATTATTCAAAAGAGTTATGTCAAAACAATGTTTTCTTTCCACCTGTAAAATCATGTAAATGTTTAGTTCACTCTACTATACGTATATTTTTCACAAAGCATTGTTGCTATGTAGACCAGGGGGGGGGCGTGGGTTCTCATAACATTAATTCTCTTTTACATTTTATGGGATATGTAACATTTAAATGTTTGTTTTAACCTTTACTGGATTTTATGGAGATGAAAAAGAGAGGAGAAACCGAGTGATGTCGGGGGGGGGGGGGGAGATTTTTCTGCATAACATTTGTTGCATTGAGTATATTCATGTGGATGTTTTTAAATGGATGTGTTTAGTTGTATTGATTGATATTACACTGTAAGAGTAAGAGTCACCATTTTGCATCTGATGCAGATGATACCAAAGTCTTGGGCATTTGACGGATTGCCTTTGAAGGCTGTCCTGCCCAAGCAACCGGCTAACTAGATTTACTGTTATACAGTATAACTGTCATCCAGCTATCAACAGTTAATGATAGATGTCTGTAT